TCATCCCCCCCCCCCCCCCCCCCTGGTGGCGTACCAGTGTTGATGTAGACGGCGTAGTCGGCGCCGTTGCGCATGAGGTTGGCGTTGCACGTGTGGTGCTTGGACAGCCCCCCGCCCAGTATGATCATGCCAGACCGACGGCACTTGATCGCACGGTCGTTAGTGGCACGGATGTCGCCTATCACGTCCAGCAACAAACCCTGCACGCACCCGCCGCACAATCGCAAAGAGCAAACAAACGTGTGGAGCAAAGCTGTCGTTCTCTTGACTGAGTGAGTGTGTGGGTGGGTGGGTGGGCTTACGGGGCTGCGGTATGAGTGGAAGTAGAGGTTGTCGCCCAGGGAGCCGTCAGTGAGGCCAGGACAGTACACCTGCCACAAAGACAAGACAGACGCACACGTGCGCAGGTCGACGGAACGGCTTCCACCAGCTGCTTGCTTACGGGTATGTGGTTCTTGTGGCACCAGTAGTAGAGGGACTCCTCATGGCCAATCTCCTTCCCAAGACGATCTATCATCTGCCAACACAAATACACACGTGGGCAGGACTGCTGGTCCAGCCGCTCTCACTCATGTGTTCGCACCTTGGATGGAGTCCAGATGGTGCCGTGTGTCCTCTGTTCGTCGAGCATGGCGTCGAGAATCGGCTGCAGCCACTCCTCAAACCGACAGTAGTTGTCGTTGGGCACCACCAAGTTGCCGATGCGGTTCCATCCCTTGTCACGCAGCTCCCTCCCACGCCATGTGAAATCGCCTGTGTATGGACAGACAGACAGACAGACAGACAGAGACAATCATGTGCTGGCTTGGTGAGTGTGGTCGTCATATGTCTTTGTGACCGATGAATGTGGGTGCCATGCACTTGATGAAGTCCTCCTCCACTCCACCAGCTGATGTGACGATCACGTCAATCAGCCGGTGCTTAGCCAGAAACACAAATACCTCACGCAAACCTGACAGAAACACGCAAACCAGTCAGTGGGTGCTTCATTGTGTCTTGCCTTGCACACTTGTGTGTGTGTGCATGCCTACCGGACGAGATCATGTTGGACGTGAATGCGAGCCATATCGTGCAGTGTCCCCTCCCACCATCGCCGGCATCATCTGTGTCATCTCCACTCTCCTCCCTCTCGCTTGCTTCTTCACTCTCGTGCTGCTGCTGCTGCTGCTCCCTTCCTTCGAGCATCCGCCGGATCTCCTCGATGGCCAACCCGACATTGGTCGCCTGGAAGCCAGACGTCAGGAAGGACTCTAGCAGGCCGTCCAGATCTCTCCTCTCATCGAAGTCGACGCCCTTGACTGTCACTGCTTCGGCAGACGGCGCGTCAGACGGTTTGAGAACGGCAGCAAGGGAATCTGCCGGGCCTGTCGAAGAGTGAACGCCGTTTGCTGCTGCTGAAGAGCTCTCCATGATTTCCTCTCCATTCTAAGCTCGCAAGAGAAGTGTAAACGGAAACCTCCCCTCGTGTTTTCGCCTGCAAAGGACGCGCGTCACTCGAAGGATCCATTCGCCGAGCCTCTCTGCCAGTTTGAGTGATGGAGGACGCCAAAGCGACGCCGCAGTTGGCTGATGTTGCTTCCCTCGTGTTTCCGTTCCTCGAGGGCACTGAGCTGCTCAATGGGCCTGACAGAGGTATACAGCGATGATGCACAGATGGCGGCCATCAGCATGACAAAACCGGAGCTGTTTGCTTGTCTGCTGTTTCCATCAGGCAGTGAGAGATCTCCATTGCATCCTTCTGGCTGACGGCTCCACTGATGGCCTCTGGCAAACACAGGTGAGAGAAAAACGATCCATGGATCGGCCACTGACAGCCTCTTTCCGCCGTGTGTGTGTGCAGTACCATCGTTCGTTCAACAAGAGCACCATCAGGCCCATCGAAGGCGCCGCCCACTTCCCCCCGCCACCCCGCCCCTCCTTTGCCCGTAGCGTCGCCCAATCCACCAGCCCCACCATAAACACCAACGCATACAAGCCACTGCCCGACAGCCAGTACCGAGACGCGTACTGCCGCGGCAAGAAGATCGAGGCGCTGGGCACGGGTGGCGGTGGTGTGGATGTGCTGCGGTGGGGCAAGGCCCAGTGTCAGAAGTGGCGTCCCGAGATGGCGCGGAGCCGGCCGTCACTCTTCATCCTGGGCGATTCTCTCTATGTGTTCGGTGAGTCAATGAGAAACACGAGGGGTGGTGCTAACGTGTGGATTGTTGTCTGTGTGTTGACCAACAGGTGGTGTGATTGATGAGGGCAACTACAAGAACGACCTGTGGCGGTAACAGCACAATACACACACACACACACACACACTCACACTGATGCTGTCGCCCGTATGAGACGCCCATTCCATCTGTGTGTGTGTCAGTGTGTCTCTCAAGTCTCTGCTGTCGAGGGGCACGTATGAGTGGCACGAGTGTGAGGTCCACGGCACGCCCCCATACGCATCGGACTCACTCACCCTGACATCCATCCACATCCCCTCACCCCACACCCCCACAGCCACATCGCAGCCCTACCTCCCACAGAGATATTTCGTGTGCGGCGGACCAGTCGACTACAACGACGGGACACCACGCGAGCAGATGTGGGGTGTGCTGGAGATCAGCAAAGAGGAGGAGGGGCAGCAACAGAGGCAGGGGGCGGGTGGGGCGGAGGGGGTGAGTCAGAGTGAGATCGAGTATCGCTACGAGTGGTTGTCCAGACGTGAGCTGTGGGGACAGGAGGAGGGTGTGCCAAAGAAAAAGAGAACCACTCTGCCGCTCAAGAGGTGAATCTACCTACAAGCTAAGAAGGGGTTCCTTCAGTGTCCATGTGTGTGCATGGCTTTTGCCCTTGTTGATTCAGGCGCTACTTCACTTCCACGTTCGTGCCCATCCGGTCGACTGAGCACCCAGAAGGCTACGTCTTCATCGTCAATGGCCGAGACGACTGGCCTGACGACCCACACGACATGAGGTGACCCCAGACACCTGAAGTGGAATGCACCTGACAGTGCGTCCGACTATGCAGGGATGTCATGCCGATGTCGACCATTGTTGATATAGCGACGTGGTCTTTCGACGGGTACGTCGCTATATCTATCGCTGGCCAAGCGTCTGTTATACGTTTCTTCGTCTAGGAGTGACTCTGTGTTTGGCGAGCGACCGAACGGCCGTGTCAACCACACCGCCACGCTCGTCAAGGACCGCTACGTCTTCATCATCGGCGGAGATGGTAAGGACGGACAGATGTCGCCTCACTACTCTGCCTGCTTCTACTCGCGTTTTCCTTCATGCAGAGTGGGAGTACGACAGTCCGCGTGGGTGCTCATCTACCATGTATTTCGGTCAACTCAACCGCATCGACACATTCGATGGCGAGACAAAGACGTGAGGCACACAAGAGGAAGAGACGAGACGAGGCGCCATTCAATAGTCTCCATTTGCTGCAGGTGGATCGCATTTGATGAGCTGCCGTGGGTCGATGAGGGCATCAAACCATCGCAAGACGGTCAGTGAGGGTGGATGAGGGGGTTGTGTTCATTTCACCCGATTGCCCTCTCCTCCACAGATGAAGTCACGAGGTCCATGTATGACGAGCCATATCTCTGCAACTTCGAGCGCCACACGGCCGTTCTGGCAGGTCAGATGAGGCAAAACAAACAATATAGGGGCGTGTTACATCGTGTCTGTGGTACACTGCATGCAGGTGACAAGATCATCATGATGACGGGCTACGCTGAGGGGAACGACGGGTTCCTCCTCAACCGCTTCCTCTGCGGCGGCACCCAGACCGTCATCTTCGACATCAACACAGGCCGCTTCAGCCTCCCGTCCTTCGCAAGAGAGCGACAGATGCCCGCCCGGCCCCCTCGCTCCCCCTCCATGATCGCACGCGAGCGTGCCTTCGAGCCGTACGAGGCCCCACCTGTCCGTGCGGCAGCAGCTGTGTGGACGGGGAGCGAGGTCATCCTCTACGGCGGTGCATCCATGCTCGACCGCATGTACCTGAATGCAGAGGGTGGCATTGTCTCGGATGACGAACATGACAACGACGGCTGGGCATTTCAGCGGCACGGGCAGCAGAAGCATGGCGACGTCTCCGTGTTGGGTGTGATGGACGGCAAGACAGGCGAGCAGCTGGTGCCCGTCGACCGACAGCAAGAGGTACGCACGTACACATCACATGCCGATACATATGACTCGAGACGGCAGAAATGGCCTGCTCTGTACGGGGTGTCATCAGGTGTCGCGGTTCAGTTCTCGCTATGTGTGTGAGCATGAGATGTGGCAGCTACCGCACTGGAAGCGGCGGGATGAGTGGGAGGAGGAAACACTCATTGACGAGGACACCGATAGGTGGGACGACAGGAACACAGCACACACACACACACACACACACACAGACGAAATGATGCATGGATAGCATCTATGTGACTGCAGTGAGGACCGCATCGAGGAGCGGTGGGCGGCCTCCTGCACCGAGAGGGACGAGGAGGCCAGAGGCGTGGAGGATAGCAACGGCGGAGACAACGAAGATCACTCAACCGACAAGTACCTTAGACAACCACCCCGCTGCACTTGCACCAGCACAATGAACATGAAGTGCACTTGCCTGTACGTCTATGTCTGCTTGCTGTGTGCAGCAAGGTATTTGGTCGCGACAAGAAGCCCACTCGCCTGCAGGCCATCACCAAGTTCTTCCCGATCATCGGGTGGCTTCTCCGCACACACAGACATACACACCTTACTGCCATCTTGAAGCCTCGCTGTCACTTCTTCTTTTGTGCAGGACAAGTCACAGCGACTTCATGCCATGGTGTGTGGGTCAAGTAGGGAGACAGACAGAGAGAACGACACCAGACAGCTGATGTTCTCTTGTCTTCAGGACTCAGGCGCCTGTTGATGTGCCGCATCAGACAACGCCCATGATCACATCGTTCTTCCAGCAGCAACGAACAGTGTAAGGAAGACGACGCACACAGAGTGCCATGTCTCCTGGATTGACGGCCCTGTATGTATGTGTATATGTGTTACAGTCGCAGCGAGCTTCCCGTGGCGAGTGAGGGCCAGGCAGACATGGACGAGAACCGGATGTCCGACCAATGACGAGGGGAATGAGGCAATCAAGAAGAGGAGGGAGAAAGGAACAAATAAACCGACAGAGAGGCTGAAATCGACGGACGTGGTGTGAATGACGTACGCGATGGATGGCGGCTTGGACACCGCAATCGCATCTATCCATCCGTGGTGCATTGCATGGTGCATTCAATGGCTGGCTGAATTCATGTGTCTCTCATCAATCGCATGCACGCAGTCGACGGGCCACACGGAGCCAACATGTGAGGTCCAATCGGGTCCTCGAACATCATATGCATTCGTCTCGCACATCACGTGGCGTCCAGCTAAGCAGCCACCCATGCAAAATAGATCAACCAACACATGATAAACATGTACATGTATTCAGCACTTGAGCCCCAGCAGCCCTTATCGACAAAAGAGGGAGAGACAGACAGACAGGCGCTGCATAGACGGCTCGCCTTACACATGACATATATCGACACGAAAAAGAGATCAATAGTGCAGGCTGACTGGCTCGATCAGTCAGTCAGTCAGCAGAGTGGGTGAGAGTGAGTGCTCACGCACTCTCTTATCATCTGTCTGACCTGCGTCTGGTCAGCTAGCTTCTCTTATCGTCTAGTCTGAACTCCTGGCTCCACTCATAAAATTCCTTGGAGTATTCGCCGCACCGTCTGCGCACGATGAAGCCACTTGCTTCATCAATGCTCTCCACGCACTGGCTGAGGTACAGTGAGAACACGTACACTTGGTAGAGCACAAGGATCAAGGCCATTGACAACCAGTACCAAAAATAATGGGGGCACTGCGAATTCCAAGCAGACACCACATCACTCACAAAAATGCCGCTCCTCTCCTCGGGAAGAGGCGCGATGTGCGCCTTTTCCGCACGCCCTTGGGCAGAGCCTCTCACAACCACCACGGCATCACAGCTTGGCACGGTGCGCTCGCCACTGCGCCTTTGCATTAACCGCGACACGCCACTCCACGCCAGGCTGGCCCAATAGCCAAGCTTCAAACGGTCTGTGGCTGTCTCGGGGAACATCGCCCAGAATACGTCGCTGACCAGCTCTCCTAAAGAGGCACACACACACACACACACACGCACACGTACACGCACACACACACGCACACGGACACGGATGCGAGACGGAGTTAAGCGGTCATTGTTTGTGTCATCGCATGTGGGACACATACGTACCCATGACTTGGATGGCGGCCTGGGTGAGGATCACCTTTGGCGAAAAGTTGCCGGCGTCGTCGCTTATTCCATAGAACAGCAGCACCATAGGTGCAACGCAGACGGCAAAGGCCTCTGCCATAATATGCGCTATCGGCACAGTGTGGTAGAAAGCAGTGGACCCCTCGATGAGAGCCACCATCTCCAGAGGCCCAACGTCAGTGTGACAATAGCGTTTCAGCAGGCGCCGGACGGGCTCATAGCACCATTTGTTGAAGCGTCTGATGTGATGGCAGTCGACGCTGTAGCAGTATACGTGAAAGCGGATCTCTAGCATCACCGAGAGCGTCTCCGCAAGCGCACCCACCCACACCTCTGTCACAGTGCCCTGCAACAGACGGACAACCTTTGTCTCGTCGGCTGGTGTCGTTAACGCATTGTTGCCTTGCCTGCAAGAGTCTGGTTATGATGCTGACACCGATGATGGCCGGGATATAGAGGATATGTCTGAATTCCGTCTTGACGTGCGTCAGCCGCAGGCAGCTGATTCGCATGAGAAACAGCCCGCCTTCAGCGAAGGCAAAGATAGCGACGCGCACGACAAGGAAGCTCATCCCCGCGTCCATGTAGCCGACCCCGAGAGGCAACAAAACTAACTGAAGAGAGAAAACAGGCACCACACAGGCGTGCGCGCAATGAGTGGCTTGCCTGCATGCTTCGGTCATCCCTGCCTGCGAGTGCGGATGTGCGTACCGAGAACAAGAAGAGAAGGAACGTGGCGATTGCCAAGAAAAAGAAGGCCTGTAAGAAGACCCACGAAGAGTCAATCGGTTTGACGGCACATGTGCAGTACAGCATAGATACAAACGTACCGCACAGACGTGCCCAGGAGGGCTCCAGTAACAGCTGATAAACATTATTATCGGCACCCAAATGATGACACTGCGCAATGTCCAAACTGTGTTGCCGACGGCGTCTTCCAGCAGAATCCTGAACACACCAACAGAGCCGCATACGGATAGTAAGTTGCCTGCCTGCCTGTTTGTGAGTCGGTCAGGCTGTGTGTGCCTGCCTGCCTGCCTGCCTGTCTGCCTTACCCTTGCCATCGATATGCGAAGTCGAATGCGATGCTTGCTACACCAAAGGTATAGCCCGCCAGCACCACAATCGTCACACGCCGGCGTCCCTTGGCTGTCGGGTTCAAACCAGGTACTTGATTCAAAACGAGCAGCAAGAAGAACTCAGCCAGGGCATAGACTGCACACACACACACACACACACACAGAGGGAAGCCGCGTCAGCCGATGGCGCCCTTGCGGCGTCGGTGGCTGACCCACCTGTGTACGAGAAGGCGCTCCAGACGAAATCGGCGATTGTGAAGTCTTTCTCTTCAAATCGCAGCTGTGTTTCCTTCTGAATCTGGACGCCATTCAATGCGTAGTGCGCCTGAACACCAGCCAGCGGATAGAGGCACGCAGATAACGCACAACAGATTGAGATTCGCTTCTCGGAGGTCTGATTCCCTCACCACAAAACATATGACAGCAGCGATGAACGCGAGGCATTGCAGCTTCAGCATCAAGCAGGCGATCTCCAGCCAGCGGCCCTTCCCCTTCTGCTCCCTCTTCCGTACATCATCAGGCCTTGGTGACAGCGTGACGTCGTGCGGCTGGCGACGAAGGCCTCGTGGGGAAGCTGCATCGACGCGCGTCTTGCTCCGTCGCAGTTGAGGGCCTTCGGTGGCCGCATGCTGAAGTGCCGGGGAGCTGAGGCTCCTCGCTGGCGGGCGACAGGACAGGTCCGTGCTTGCATTCTCCTTCTCAGCCTCCATTCGTCCATGGACGCATCCATGCAAGGCCGTCAGAGAAAGATCGGGAAGAATTACACAACACAAGAAACACGGGGCGGAGTCCCATGTGCGAGCTTGGAGTTTGCAGATCTTTGGCTCAGACCCGCGTCGGCGCAATATGCAGCGTCACATACCATCCCAGGCGGCACGCCTCTTTTCATCCACAGCAGTGTCACTCACTGGCCCCTTATCTGCTTCTGGAGGCTGCCCTGCCTGTGCAGGCAGCCTGGGGCGTCCCTGGCTGCAGCAGCAAAGCCGCTCGGTGTACTGGCCTCCGCCGCCATCCAAGAGATCAAGATCTATTCGGGTACGCAAGCAAGGCAGGTGAGCGACTGCGCTCTCCGGTTGTGTTGCAGCTTCCATCGGGTAAGAAATGCTTTGTGTTCATCGCCAAGAGAGACCAGGACGGAGCGGCCGAGCCGGTCCTATGCTTTGTCGACAGGTGAACTGGATCCAACACATGCAGAAGGCCCTCCACCATAGACAGGCATGGCATGGATATGGATTGTGTTTGGCTGGCTGTTTGTGTGTGTGTGTGTGTGTGTGACTGCAATGCAACAGTCAGAACAAGCGTTTGATGTGGTTAGATGAGGAGGAGGTGTTTGAGCTGGAGCGGCTGGCCCCCAGACTCAAGTCGTACCTGCACCTGTGGGAGAGAAAGGCCGCTCAAGAAAAGTAAGTACCGTCACGGATGCGCAGGCAGCACAGCAAGGCCCCGTTGCATTTGTGGTTCGTGGTGTTGTGTCGTGTGTCTTGTCGTGTGGTTGCAGGGTCTCCAAGGTGGAGGCCGATGAAGAGATGAAGAAGGATGTCAGTGTGGATTAGTAAGTGTCGGGGCTGTGATGCATGTGCGACGGACGGCAGGTCGTGTCGTGTGTACGATAAGAGGTTACTTGCGGTGTGATGCTGGACGCATGGGTGAATGTGACCCGAGCCTGTGGGGGAGGGATATCAATCGTTATGGATTGATTCTTCTCGGGCCTCGTCGCCTTCAAAGAGTCTCTTTCAGTGTGTCTGTTCTGTTCCCTACATGTCATGTCCTCTATCAGTCAGTCAGTGTAGCATCCATCCATCCATCCATCCATCCATAGATGCACTGCACGAGCCCCACACGCGTCAGCCAGCCTGGCAGGCTGCCTGTCTCCACACTGAAAGCGACAGGGATGCTCGCTATCCCGTGACGAAAATTGCATGTTCCCTCCTCAGGCCATTTCTGCAGGCCACTTCTGCAGGGCATAAAGCGTCTTGGGCTGAATAACGCGCACAAGAAAGGAAAGGGGTGGCGAATGAGCAGAAAGGAGCTTCTCTAATCACGTTTACTACGTACTTGTGTCTGGTAGTCGTAGACGAGTAGGTCGCCCTCCTTGATGGTGATGGGCACCTTCTCGGCCTCGTAGGCCTCACGGAGCGTATCGAGCACAGCGCCCCCAGCCTCCTTGCACCGGAAGTACCAACTGGCACCTGCCAGACGCCATACACATCCACATACCATTGACTCCATGGGAGAGCCATGTGTGTCTCCCTCTGTTTCCGTTGTTGCGTTGCGCGCACCGAAGGATCTGTCGCCGTATTTGGTGCATTCGGGGCATTTTTCGAGTGTCTCGCAAGGCTTGAAGTCGTCGTCGAGGGCGCGATCGACGTAGATTTGCATGCAGCGGCCGGCCTGCCGGAAGGAAACACGAGACAGGCAAACCAGAGAGAGACACACGTGTGTGGGAGGCGGGCGTGGCTGCGGGCTTGGCGCCTCACTCACTGCCTGACCGTCTGACTGACCGTCTCGCATCGGTTCATGAAGTTCTTGCTTTCGTCGTTTTGGGCCATAGCGCGTGTGTAGAAGAAGTCCTTGACCGTGAAGCCCTCCTTGCTGAAGTTGTCCTCGCAGATCTTGGTGCAGTCGGCAGCAGCGAAGGCGCGCTTTTCAGTGCCCTCCTCCTTGCCGGGGAAGGGCAGCTGCTCGGGGACCTTCACGCAGTGGCGCTGTTCAAAGGGGATCGTCCGGATGTCGTCGCCCGTGTGACCCTCGGGGAACTGGATGCACGCACAACACCTGGAGAGGAGAGGTGTAGGTGATTCATAGACACACATACAAATCACGGACGGGCAATGGCGGTGGAGTGGAAGGGGGGTGCATGTTTCTGTCTGTCTGTCTGTCTGTCTGTCTGTCTGTCTCAGTGTGTCTCCATCTAGGTGCTTACTGTGGGAAGGGCTCCGCTTTTTCAAAGAGGTCGACGACGTTTCCGTAATCTTCTGTGGCCTCGTAGTCCTTCCAGCGCGTCACGATGATCTCAGACACTTGCATGGGGACGGGAGCTGGCAAGGGCGGCTCAGGCTCAGGCTCAGACTTCTTGGCAGCCGCCATGGGGTCGGCGAAGCCGGGGGAGCTGCTCCAGGGCGCCTGCACCAACAGTTGAAGCAGAACGATGTCACGAATGGACGGCGTGTCTCCCTCCAATGCATTGACTGACTGACTTACATCGTATCCGACGCTCACCCACCGACGCTTGGGTCTTGGCCGTGTCCCATAAGCAGCACCATCCATTGTTGTAAGTGTTCTAAGTGTGGATCCTTCTTTCCCCCTCCCCCTTCTTACCTTGGCTCTCCCAGGACATATTCGTTGCCCGTGGCGTCGTCCACAGGTCCCGTGGCATTTGGGGCGGTGAGCTTGCTGGGCTCGGGTGCTGTGGGTGGCGATGGCGCAGCCTCCTCAGTCTTGTCCTTGTTGATTGCCGACCCCGGCTCGCCCTCAGGCTGTGTCTCAGGCTGTGCGACAGTGTCTCCCTCCTTCTGCGGCGCCTCATCCGGGCCGCCGCCCGATTCTTCCGGCGCTGGTTCTGGCTCATCCGCAGCTACTGTTGGTGGTGGTGGTGGGGCTGCTCCTGCTTCTTCGAGTGGCACCTCAGCCATCGCTTTGATCTCCTCCTCGGTGAAATCAAAAGGACTTGCAAAAGCTTCAGCCAACCGCTCCTTGGAGTCCTTATAGGTACTGGGTGCTGAGGCGGGCTCGACAGATGGGCCGTCCGATGCCTTGATGTGCCGACGCACCTCGTGATAGGCGGCGTTCGTCACTCCTGAATGGACACACAGTGCAGCAGGGCCCTGTTCGAGAAGGACAATCGGTGGATGCTTTGTCTCGTGCGTACCGGTGTCCACATGGAATGACAATGCGGGAACCAGCAGTGCGAGAGCGACAAAGAAGACGTACATGATGAAAAAACCGACAAAATTCGAGACGGGATGGCCCCGGGCCGTCTTGTTGGGGGCCCAATGGTGGGGGCCGCATGCGTTGCAAGCTTAGTTCCATATTGCAGCTTCGTTCCGACTTTATTTTGTTCCGTCCCGTGGACAACCGACCGAAAGCCGACGCAGACCCTCATCACTTTATGGCTGATGCAGCCACCGTCTGTCGGCATCGCCCGAGACGAATGGTGAGACGTCATCCTACCCCGACGCCGATGGCGTCCGAGGCGCCGCCTCAGGCGAGGGATTCCGCTGATTATAACACTGCAGAGGAGAATTGCACTGGCACGAATCAACAGAAAAACACGGCCAGTGCACTACACCGAAGGGGGAAGCCCGGCCGTCCATCCACCCAGCATCCACACAGAAGAAAGAGTCGAATGCCTCTGTGGCCGGGAAAGTGGTGGAAGGGAGTTGGTGCTCTTCTCGGCGTGGCTTTCTTTCTCACTGTCAGCGGGCCCCTGCCTGTGTCAGCCTACACCACGGGCTCTCTGAGCGGCGCTTCCGTGTCCTTTCGCTATGTATTTTCAAACTCTGAGCTCAATGCCTACCGCATCTCCTTCACCACCTCGTCGAGCGGCTTCTACTCCGCCCCCCCCATCACCCACACCCAGATACTGCTCCACATCTCGTCGGGCGTCGACTTCACCGCAGACATCTTCGACGCCAACAAGCTGCTGTCCCACCCCACCAGCTATCCGGTGGTGCTGAACAGCATCAACGCCACCCATGCTGCCTTCGTATTGTTGACGCGCCTCCAGCCGTCCTCGTCTTATGTCTTCACACTTCCCGCAAACGCATCGAGCATTCCGCCCCTCTTTGGTACGGGTACGCTGTACGTCATGTGTCAGACGAGCAGCGCCATCACTGGTACTGTTGAGCACCAAGACGTCGCTTCGATATCCATCGACCGCTCTCCCGTCCCCTCCTTCCAGGAGTCTCAGCTCATCCCGACGACCATCGTCGCAAACCAAGTGGCCCGCGCTCTCGTCAGCTTCCGACCGGCCTTTGACAGTGAACTGATACCTCGAGGCGATCCCGACACGCCTGCTGCATTTGTGCCTCTGCAAGGGGTGTCTCTGGTCTTTGTGTGGAAGGATCTCCTCAACACCATGGCCGTCTACTCTGCTGCGAGGCCGGTCATCTCCCTCGACCAGACGAGTGAGTATTTCGGTTGTGGGGCGGTGTTTCTCGAGTTCTGGTCGGAGTCAGAGGGTGGCTTTCCCAACCCTGCCACCTGCGAGTGGCAGGCCACAAGCGACACCTCCAATGGCCTCCTCACCATGAAGTTCGACCCCTACAATGGCCCCCCCGTCGGCCGTCTGCACGAGGTGGTCTTCCACGCATCGTTCGTCGAGGGCTTGCCAATCGCGTCCGACCCCTCCCTGCCGACCAACAACACCCACCCGATGGAGCTGCGCCTCGTGTCGTCCGACGGCTTCACCATCCTGCAGTTCGCCTCTCTGTGGCCCACACGAAGCGCCGTGCCGCAGTCCATCGTCAATGAGGACCACAACCCGATCTTTACCACGATGGAGATACTGAACACGGAGCTGGTGGACGGGGCCAACGCCACTGCGAATGAGATAGACGAGGTGTCGGTGCGGCTGTTCGCCCGCGATGGGGGTTCCAATCGTTTGCCGCCGTCAGCTGAGCTCCGAATTATCCTGCACCCGCTCACCTACTGGGATCAAAACCTCGACAGGTGAACGAACGCGGTATATGATATGCAAGCTGGGTGGTGGATAGATGCATTGCCTGGTCATTTCATTTGCAGGGCGTGTTCGATCCGGCGTCTAGCTGGCATTCCCAGGCCAACATGCCAATTCGAGAAGGTCAGAAGGCACGCACTTGTCTATGCATTCGTTACATGTACCTCTGTTCTGTGTCTAGGTGGGTCACGCGGCGCCGATTATCCGGATCAACCTGGATGCTTCGGCCTCGCCCACCACCGACTGCCCCGGCGCAGACCTCTCGATCGAGAACAACTTCCAGTGCCCTGTCTACACACTCGAGAACTTCCGCCTGCCCATCAGGGGTTTCTTCCCCACTGAGTGGGCGGCGGAGGCCTACCTTGTGACGGACATTGCGCCGGGGCAGCCATTGAGGCATCGGGCGACGTTTCTCGCGTCTGACTGGCAGTTCCAGCCGTATCGGGTGTCCAAGACACCCATGGCCGGGATGAAGGCTCGCATACAGTGAGTGAGACACAGGATTCATTCACGAACAGAAAGGGGTTGGACATGGCAACATACTATGCGGCAGGGGCTACACGGAGAGGCACTACGACCAGGAGAACAATGGGATCTTTCTTGCCTTCGTAGCACCCTTCAACTGCCAGTCGGGATCATGTAGGAGCAGGGGCGAGGGAGGGAGCAGTCCCTCACGAAGTAACCCATCGATATTTCTTGTTGTGTCTCTGTGTCCCCTCAGCGTCAGGCAGCTTGTGCAAGGTGAGTTTCACTCTGCCTGCCTTCTTCACGGCCGATCCCCCCGTGGCATCATTCGGCCCCCTCCTCACGTATGACATCACATCCGCCATCGCCCAGGCCACCAACACGGCCGACATCCCCACACCCACCACAATGGGCACGCTGCCGACTTCTGACGTCATCTGCTCCAGCACGGGCAACATCACCTGCCACTTCGAGCTACGGACCGACCGGCGGCTGCTCGCGGGGGTGGGTTATGGCGCCAAGATCACGGTTGACAACCCGGTCAAGCCGAGACAGAGGACGGACCCCTCCAATGTGTGGCAGGCAAGTGCGTGAACACGTAATGAAGATGCACACACACAGCACATAACATGACACGCATCAATCTTTCTGTCTGGGTGCAGGTAGAGATGGTGGGCACAAAGGACCCCAGTGTTGGTGGCAGCCCTGCCCGCACCACGTCTGTCGTTCCTATAGAGCAATCCACCATCTTCCCCATCATGGGCCGCATACGTGACGCCTACGTTGCCCCTCGAACCCTCAAAGCTGCCACCCAATCGACAATAGAGGTCGCCCTGAGGCCGCAGCAGGCCGTTCCGCAGCTCGGATCCATTCGATTGACGTTTCCAGAGGGCTATGACATGGTCACGGCAAGCGGCTGTCCGCCTGGGGAGACGGAAATGCTGGACCACTCGGAGGTGACTGCGGCCAGCTTTGATGGGGCTGTGTGTGAGGCGAGGTCGAGCGCTGGGTCGATGAACCCTGGCAAGAATGAGCTCACCATCCAGCTGCTGCAGACCTTTCTGCCACAAGGTGAGTGTGAGGTGGATCGAAATGCCCGCACATTGGTTGGTACACATCTGCTTGTTTCAGACAAGGTGGTATCCTTTGTGTTGCCGTTCATGTCTCCTTTGTTCCCCGGGCCGCCACTGGCATCGTTCGTGGCCTCGGTGGGCACTCTCGACAGCAATGGCGATTTGCTGGACTCCATTCCGTTGGTGACTTCTTTCAACACCAATGAGGACCCGGTCGCCTACACCGCCGCTGACGTGGCCTATGTGCTGCCTCCCTTTCTCGACGACTTTGCCTTCCTGGACGTGTCGATCGCCCCCGATGATTTATTGCCGTACAACGTGACTTCCAGCGAGTCCAACGTCACGGTCATTTTCGGCGTCAAGAGCCCCATCAATGCAGTAAGTGGTGAGCAGACTCAGACACGCAAGAGACAGTGATCCCACCCATCATCCCCACATGCCCGTCTCCTCTGTCTGTTCTGTGGCCTCTGCTCAGGTCGGCAGCACTGTTGAGCTATGGGCGCCATACGGCTACGAATTGTCACCCACAGCCGACCTTGATGTGATGCCCACGAGCAGCGGGGCCTCACAGACACACCCGAGCCCTCTGGTGGTCAACACCGGCACCACCACACTGGGCGGGTCGCTGAGCAACGTCTTGCGGCTGACGTTGACGGGCGTCCTGGCCGCCTATGGCACGTGTGTGTTTCGACATTCGGTGAAGGTGCCTGACGTCGAGCCGGGGCGGAGCGAGGACCAGCCAAATACGTCGGGGTGGATGCTGGTCATCTACTCTGATGCCACTGAGCCATATCAAAGGTCTGTCTATATGTCTGGATAGCATGCAGTCATTGACACGACGGCAGACACCGTCAACTTGTGAGTTTGTGTGTCTGCAGGCTGGCTGGTGGCGTGGTCTTCCCCCCCTTTGCTGTGCGGCGTCTGTACAACCTGGCCTTGGTGCCGTCGAAGCGGACAGCCTCGGACACGTCTCAAGTCGTGGTCGCCTTCAGCTTCCCAACCACGCTCGTGTCCACTGCCGACGACACGGCAGCCATTCTCATCCACAGCCCGCCCGGATTCACATTGCCGCTCATCCGTGACGGTGAGATATCTAAGAAAGATGCCGGGACTTGTATTCTCATTTCCTCTCTCTCTCTCTCTCTCTCTGTGTGTGTGTGTGTGTGTGTGTGTCAGCGAATGGGGTTGTGGTTGAGCATTGTTCAGTGTACCTGACGCTATCGACCGATTATGTGTCGATTGTTGGCCAGACCACCCCCTTGCCCAGCGACGTCGTAATTGAGTGTGCCACTGTCACCGTCGATGGCCAAACGCTATGCGCCCTCAAGTTCACAGTCAGAACCAATAAAGCCGGACGGAGGAAGCTGAGCTTCAGTCATGGAATGGCTGGCTGGTGTGTTTTGGGGTGTCTGTTGATCGCAGTTGGCGTCGACGCCCATGTTCTCCGGCCGCACGGGTGTCAATTTGCGTGTTGTCAACCCGGCCACCACGCCTACCCCCAGCAAAACAAACATGTATACCACAAGAAGGCAGAGACAGGATACACACATGGCCATGTGTGTCTCTTGCTCAGGTGGACCATATCATCCTACAGCAAATTCGTTGCCGACTCCATATCGCCCTTCATAGCCGATGGGAGCAGCTCGGTAGTGGCCGACTACCACCAGAGCATCGACTCATACGCAATCCTGGCCCCTCTGACACGGACGCACATCGTGACGGCCCCGGACATCGACCCAAACCCTGCCGTCTCGCTCTTCGACAACAGGCCAGGGTACCCTGCCAGGGTGGTCATTGCATTCGACACCCTCAACACAATTGCAGCTGGTGAGAGAGGAAGGCAGGAATGTAATGTGCCTTTGCTATCTGTGTGCACATGGTTGTGTTGTGTGCGGGGATGTATGGGTACAGGTGATGTGTTTGTGTTGACCGCCCCCTCTAGCTTCGTCTTCCCGGCCGACTGCAGCGGCGCCGTGTCTTTGCTGTATCCCCTCGGCAATGAGGCCACTCCTGTGCCGGCCAAGTACACACCACTGCCGCAGGTATTCCAACAAGCAAACAGCGACACGCGAATATGCTCCAGATGAGCGGTCTTATGTGTGTATGTTTGTGTGCAGCCTCAGTCGATTGCCTGGTGCCAGGGTGGTGTGCGTCAGCTGTCGCTCGTGTTCACGCACCCAGTACCGGAGGCACCGTCCAACCAGACGTACATCATCGGATTCAGCCTCACCAACCCCACATCACCACCTGTATGCAGACATGAGTCACGCGAATACTTGCACCGAACACCTGCACGCCCGTCTCTCTGCGCGTGTGTCCGTGTGTGTGGACAGGTGTCCTATGAGTGGAGTGTGTCATTTGGCGGTGCGGAGGCCAACGGCATTCAGGGGTACACCCTAGCGGCCATTACTGACATCCACATCGACCCCCTCACCCAGAACCCCGGCGAAACAAACAAAATCACCGTACGTCACCCAGCCACCAGAGGAATCCCTTGCCTGCAATTGCTCTGGGTATGTCTTGGCCTTTCTACATCTATCAGTTTCGGTTCACAACATCGGCGTTTTTGGTCGGGACGGCATTTCTACGGGTCAAGACCCCTAAAGCTTCCGAGTTCGCATTCTTCACGTAAGTGAAGTGGCTTTTCTGGCCACTTCATTTAATCGACGGCAAGGATATGTGTGTGTGTGTTGTTTATTGCTCCAGTGGGTGCCAGGGCTTTACCGGCGCGTATGAGGTGCCCGATGCGGCCCCTGCAGACCTCGACTATGGCCTGGGTGAAGAGTATGAGGTCGATGGAGCCACCTGCCAGCTGGTGCGTACAGCAGCTACCGGCTCGGCCGCATATATATTGTGTCCGTATTTCTGTGTGTCTCGGTGTGGTGTCCCAGGAGGATCCTTTCAGGTTCGATGCTGTCCAGTTCTTCTTCACACGCCAGGAGCTCCTTCCCGGCACATACCAGCTCTCCATTGATGTTCGTCAGCGACACCTCTACTCACACACACACACACACACACAGCCCTCCTTGACCTTGCTGGCTGTCAATCATTGTGTCATCAGGTGATGAACCCCAGCGCGTTGAGCCAGACGGTGACGACCAGCTCGGGCATATCGGAATACGACGATGGCGACTGGCAGCTGGAGACATACTCCAACTACGTCGACCGTGTCGACCCACAAGTCCTCCTCGAGGCCGGGAGAAAAGTACAAAAACATAAAGCTTCACGTAGCCGTTTTTGTTGTCGTCTTTTGCTTATCAGAAATCCTTTCCCATCGTGCCGAGCATCCCGTCTCTGGGCATTAATCTGACCTACTCCGGCCTCAACGAGACAGATGTGTCCCCCGACGCGCCGGATGCCTTCACCCACTGGCGCAACAGATCGGCCTACACCCACCACGGGGGCGACGTGGAGCTGCTCTCAGTGGCTTTCACACTCTCACAGCCGGCCATGGGGGGCGACGTCATCGTCTTCGACTTCCCATCCGAGTACAACCTGACATTGCGGGAGCTGCCGGTGGCGAATGACAGCGGGAGCCGGAGAGAGCTGCTGGTCACTGATGAGTCGATATATGGAAGCTGCTGGAACTTCACCATCACGCCGCCGGTTTCCGACCTCGCCATCCTTTGCCAGGTGACCAACTGCACCAAGGGCAAGTCTGTGGGCGGGTGGGTGGATTCCCCTGTCATGTGGCCCGTGCAGGGCAGCGAATTGATCATGTCGACTTACAAGAGCATCATCGGTTTCAGCTCCTACATCCCCGAGTGGCGGCCGGTCAGCAACATGAATGGACCGATTCGAGCATTCGTCTGCTGTATTCCACACACACTCTGTGAATGGCTGCAGGTGACCGTCACGCTGCACGTGGTGCTGCCCAACGTCAAGCCGTCGGTGACGAGTCTGCTGGTGTTGCACCACCGGCCGAGGCGAGACATCACCTCGCTGCACGAGTACTATGACGCGCGAGAGGCAGACCCCAGCGGCAGCGTTAGCCTCATGCAATCCAACAGAGTGGGGCTGTGGAAAGTCATACCAAGGTCTGTCAGCCGTGGCGCATCCATGACACTCGCAGGGGCCGTATGTGTGTATGTGTGTCTGTTGTATCTGCTTCAGGCTTGTGGATGTTGAGATCAACCAGTACGAGCCCCCGAAGGTGGCCATCAACCGAGTCACTGCCGTGGAGCTTTCATTCGTGGCCGTCACTCCAAATGCACAAATCATCAACATCACCACCGATATGGTCAGCATACCACCCGAGCCAGACAATGCGCAATTCACAAAAAGCCTTCCCTCTCACTGTTTGTTTTTCTTCCTTGGTCTCTCAGCTGTTTGACTGTTCTGATTGTGTGATTGATGGCGGCCCGGCGGAGGGCGGCACGTGCATCGGCGGCCTGGGGTGGGCGACACTCTACCTGCCTCAACCGCTGTACACGGGTGGGGTCCGGAATGTCATCAACTTCCGGCGCTTCACCAACCCTCCCACACGAGGCACGCCCAATTTCGCCATCTCGACATTTGCAAACGTCTCTGGTCGGTCAGGGATAGCACCGCTGGCGTAGGAAGGCCTCAAGGAGGGCTCTGTTGTGCAGGGACGGCAGTGTTGCTGGACGAGAGTGCGTTGATTGAGGGCTACGCTGTGACGGATTACATCACCATCGCTGACGCCGTTGACTGCGGGCCGCTGCAGCTCAATGACTCGGACATCGCACCCACGTGCACCGCCACACGGCCATTCTTCGAGGTACACAGAGAGAGACACACAGACGGACAGACAGTAGAGGGAGGCACAGTCAAGTCAAGACCTCTCTTCTGCTCTGCTGCTGTCCAGGCGCGTGACAATGTGGTGCGTCTGGAGGTGCTGAACCTGACAGCCGACATCCCCGCCGACTCGACACTCAAGATCGCGCCGCCGTCTGGTCGGGCCACCCACCCGCCACCCAGACACACAGGAGTCTCCCTGCATTGGATCAACTCTTTTATTCATCAGGTTACAACTTTTGGGACGAGACTGCCTTCCTCCCCGGCAGTGGCTTCCCCAATGTGACCGATGCTGACAGCGACGGGCTCAATGTGACCTTACTCAACAACGGGACGGGCCACGCCAGCCTGGAGGTCATCGTGCCCGACGTCATATCGGTATGTCAGTCCGTCAGCCGACGCACAGAGGGGGAGGAGACACAGGTGTATCCATTCAATCAGCCATTCTGTCTGCAGGCTGGGGAGAACTTCACCTTCCATGTGCGTGTGATGAACCCGACATTGACCCCCGAGCTCAACAAGTGGAAAATCGCCGTCGACACGGCTGACGGGTGAGTACGTGAGGGAGTGACCGGCTCAGAGGGACATCAAAGGTAAATGATGGATCGTGCCGCATGTCGTCAGCGAGGCGTTGTACAACAACGACGGCGACTGGGAGGGTCCCCAGCTGCAGGGGTCGGTGACCAAGTTCGAGCTCTTCAGCCTCAAAAGCAACTACCCCGAAGACGACAACGTCATACAGGTCAACTTTACTCTCGCCAGCCCCCTAGAGAGACGAGGACTGCAAATCAGAATCAAGTGTGTAAGCTACACACACCAATGCATTGATTGCATGACTCTAAACACTTCAACCAACTACCTGTCCTTTTGTCCGTGTCAGGGCTCCTCTGGGCTATGAGTTTTCGACCCTGGATTGTTTTGCCTACGAGAACCACCTCGTGGGCATCACTGTAATGACCCCAACCCTGGCAGCCATCCTCATGGTCTCCAGGGGTCGGGTCCCAGCCGCAGCATCGGGCTTCCCCACACCCATCATCATTGCACCAGACGAGCCCTGCTGTGTGTGGGAGTACCCCATACTGTCGCCCCTGCCTGACCCGGGGCTGCCGGACGGAGACCCCAGTGGAGGGCCGTGGGCGCAGAGCTGTGCCGCGCCTTTGCAGTCCCTGAACACTGCTGTCATCAAGGTGTCCCCTTCGAATCTTTTGCAGTGTCTTTATGGATTGATTGATGTGTCGCAGGTTGCGTACCCATTGAAGGCGTTCGTCGAGTACAGTGTGTTGCTTCGCGTCAAGAATGCGGCTAATTATGATCCGGATGGGGAGTTCACCTTCTTCAGCCACAAGGACGATGATCAAACCAACTTTGTACACAAGACGTACGAACCTGCCACAGCCCCCAATCCACACATTTGGTGTGTGCATCTGTATTATTCTGGTCGCATTGTGTTGTTTGTGTCTCGTGGCAGGACTGCCTCTGCGTTTGAGTTGATTGCGCTGCCCGTCCACTTGGCCGTCTCCGACAGAATGTTCGGCGTAAGTGGAAGAAGATTGACTGGCTGCGGTGTGCCGAGCAGCTCACATGTCCCCCCATCGGTCCTCGTGCATGTCTCCCTTCCTCCCTCCTTGCCTCAGCCTGACGATTCGAAAGCTTTCATCTCTTTTTTTAGCCCCTTCAGCGTGCCCCCATCAGGCAAGCACCGATCTCTGGACACAACACATGGATGCAATCCTTCCTGTCGGTCGGTTGCTCGGATGGGTGCATGCAGGGACCATTGTGGTCGAGTCGCCTCTGCAGTTCGGGATCTTCTGTTCCAACGACATCTTTGAGCGGGGCAACCTCCCACCAGCCACGGCATGCCGCGGAGCCAACAAGATCACCATCATCACGCTATCGGGAAGCGACACACTCACGGTAGGCCGCGAGCGAGACATGGGGGGCTGGTGGGTGACTGTCCTGAATGTCTCTTCATCCATCCCGTATAACAGGCGTACAAGCCTTACCAGTTCGCCATTCGTGTGTACCCGTTGTCTTTTGAGGACTTCGAGATGTATGGCCTCAACCAACGCGACAACTACTGGAGCGTCAAACTCAGAGACCAGAAAGACGACCTCATACACGCCACCAATGTACTGCAACAGAGAGAGACGCAGACACCGACAATGAATGCATCGTTCGTGGCTGGTCCTTTAGGATATCGGCGGCTACACGCCGACTGAGCGTGGCGTGACGTTGTTTGAGGTGACGCCCAGCAGGCGTGCAGCTGACGTGATCCACCACCTCACAGTGACCTTCAGGACGCACTCCGTTCTCACCGCCAACGTGCTGCACCACTTCGTACTCAACGTAGGCAACCCAACCACCCAAGCAAACAAGAACAAGACAAGACAATGTCCCTCCTGTGCCGTTGTGCCATGCCGACCTACAGGCGCCCCCCGGGTTCACCTTCCCGTGCGCCAACAGGACGCACGCCATCAACAGGACCGACCCCTTCGACGTCAACCGCAACCTCGGCATCGCCATCGACGCCCTTCCCGTCCAAATGGCTCGTGTCCACTCGTTCCATGACGTCCAGCCCCACCTGTACGACCCTGACCTCAATGTCACGCTGCAGCCTGAGTGGGAGGAACACGGCCTGCCCATCCTCAACGACCCCATTATGTGTCACGAGACCTCGCTTTCTGTGTATTTCGGGTTTGGTGAGCTGATCAACGAGCAGCGGTACTGCTTCAGGGTGCAGGTCAAGAACCCGAGTCTGTATGTGCCGAATGCCACACATCCCGAGCCGTTTCCCTCCTGGTCGGTGTGGCATCTGGCTTTCTACCGCAACGACATCATGACTGAGGAGGGATGGGCCCTGGGCTTCTTCATCGACCCAAGTGAAGGTCGACACACGTGTCTCTGTGCGTGCATGCGTGTGTGTCTCATGTGTGTGTGTTGGTGTGTTGTGTGTGCAGATCCTCTGGCTGACGCATTTATGGCTGAGGGGAGCCGCCTTGCTGATGTCTCTTTCTTGCTCTATGCTGTACTGATTTTCGTTGCTTCCTCCCTTGCTGCGGGCTTCTTCTGACTCCGATTGTTGGTGGTTTTTCGCTCTTGGCGCTAGTAAGGCATAGGGACGTTTCTCTCTCTTCGCTGGCCACCAAATCCTCCTCGCTTTGACACCATGGAAGCGCTCTCTTGTCTGTGCTATGGATTGATAGCATCCATCCATCCATCCCCTGCTTCTTCGTCTGTCCGTGGACAGATTGCTGAGCTGAGCTGCGTGAGCGTGTGTGCGTCATAGGCAGATAGGTGAGGTGCGACTGCTCTTTTGCTCTTTGTCAATCGACCGTGTCAAACAACGTCTGTTGACGTCGATACGATGCATAGTATACACGCGCCAGTCAGTCTGTCCCATCATCCGTCCGTCATCTGGTCTGCAGGCATGCAAGAAATCCATCACTCGAGCGGTAACAAATCAGGCAGGAACCAAAGAAAGGGAAAGACCAGTGGGCACTGCATGGGATGGCATCATGTCCAGAAAGGCAGACAGCAAGTTAGCCAAAAAGACGCATGGCGCACAGGATCAAGCGATAAATATGTACACGCAACCTCACAAGAGCGATAGTTCCCTCCCCTCCCCCCATTGCCCCCCACCCGTCATTCAGTCCCTCAGAGCAGACCAGTGCTTCCACGCGAAATCCTGCAGCAGCTCGCCGCACTTCTGCAGATTGGGCTCGAACAGCATCGACGGCTGAGCAGACCCACCCTCATCAATGTCATCCACCGCTGGACGCCGCCTGCGTCGCTTCCTGTCCTGCCTGCCCCAACGCTCCACGGCCTTCTGCACGTCCCGCTCGGTGTCAGCCGTGCTGTAAAAGCTCCCCGAAGGCGACAGCCCCACAGATGGGGACGGGCCCGACTCACGCTCTCCAGAGGATGGCACAGCAGCACCGGGGAAGGGGTGTGGCGGGAAGGCCGTGTCCCTCACACGCTCGAAGAACGACCGGAGCCACACGACCACACGCAGGCCCATCAGCAGCCGGTGCATCTTGGCCACGATCCTGGCGAGCCGGGCGCCCCAGAAAGGTCGGTAGGTGATCACATAGAGGTACACCGACGTCAGGGCGCAGCCAAGTGGCAGCAGTGGCACCCGCTTCATGAGCTTGCGCATGCTCCGGAGGTGCAGCAGGCCCGTGAGCGTGGTGGCCAAGATCGAGCCCAGCAGCATGTGCTCCTTGACCCTCACCACCAGGTAGTTCATGCCTGGGTCACGCACCAGCCGACCCGCCAGCAGCCGGAACCCGAGGGCCCACGGGTCGGGCCTTTGGCCATAGAAGCCTGCACCCCTCACTGCTGCCTTGTCCTCGGGCCGTCTGGCGAGAGCAGAATAATCGGCCGCTGCTGATGCTGCTGACGCGGCAGGGCCGGCTTCAGTGCTCTGCTGTTGGTGCTCACGCTCGTGGTCGCCAGATGTTGTGCGTACGTGCGGTGGCCTCTTGGTCTGTTTCCTCTCCTCTGGGATAGCGATGGCCCCCGTGTCCGAGCTGATGGGCGGGCTCCCATCGGACTCGCTGAGCTCCTCCATCTCTTTCATGGCCTCCTTGACCACCACCATCTCCGACCCCTCTCCGCCGGTGCCGGCCCTGTCACGCAGACCCTCCGGCCTCCTGACGGTCTTGTGCTTCTCGCCATGAGTCTCTGCCTTCTCTTGCTCGAATGCCGCTCTAAGCTCCCGTCTCTCCTCGTTGACGCGGGGGGCTCGTATTGCTAGAGCCGCGGGCGCAGCAGCCGGGGGGGCCGACGGCGGTGGCGCGAGAGCTGGCAATGGCAAGGGGGATGGGGGAGGCGTCATGTGGTGCGGCCCCGCGTGTGTGTTGGGGTCGTAGATGCGCTGCACCAACTGGGGCAGCAGGTGTACGAGGCCTCGCGTGGCGAGCAGCCGTAGGAAGAGGGGGTCGCTGCCCTCGAGGACGGCAGTGAGCTCGTGCTCCGTGGGGTGCAGGAAGACGATTATCCAAAAACGCAGAACGTAGAAGGGCAAAGCGCCGTTCTGCACACATCGCATCACATCACACGACAGGAAACGACAACCAGCAAACATATCAGACAGACCATCACCATAACGCCACGCTGTCTGTCTTCGTGTCAGTCAGTCAGTCTGTCTGTCTTTGTTACCTACCTGCAGTAGAGGTGCGACGATGTCCATGACGCTGCACCTCATCATGAGCTCGTCCATCCAGGTTGGCACCATCTCCCTCACCCCGTGGGCACTCACCCACATCCCGCCCCTCACCAGCAGCACCGCACACCCAACAGCCACCATCCCGCCTATCACTGCCACGCGCACCGGCAGCACCAGCGTCACCCAGAGAGCCAGGCCGAGAAATAGACAAATGAAGCCGAACCCAACCAGAGGGTCATGGTGAGCCCAATCGATGCCGTGACACACCAGCGGGGGAACATACTGGGAGGCCAGCAACACGAGGGCGTGGGTTTCGAGGCAAACGGCCACGAACAGGGACTGCAGGTAGCCGGCGAGCCGCAAGACAAGCGAGGAGAAGCGGTTTGAAGGAGGGTATCGGTTGGCAGCACAACAGGCAGCTGCCGGGGACGTCATGATTATGACGTGAGAGTCCTTTCCCTTTTGCTGTCCCTTCCTATCTTTTTGAGCTCGCAATTTTCTGCGAGCTTGGGAAATCAGGAGCAATCAGGAGCCTGTTTGGAGCCTGGATGTTCTCACAGCCTACCCAAGCTGCTTTCGGTCCAAGAACCAGTGGATGTAGCAGTTGATGAATCGATAAGAGTGAGTCTGTGTTGCGAGGCCAGGCCTCCTCGCCTCCTCGGCACTTGTGGGGCAGCTGGTGCATGCTCCTCTGCCACACGAGTCGGTCCATCAGCCCAAGACCCTGCTGTCCACTGCCCTCAGCCAATCTGATGATGAAACGGTATCCGCAACCACACAACGGCTTCTACGCCAACCCCCTTGGCATGATGCCCCACATGGGCATGGGCGAGCCGCCATCGCAGCAGCAGTACGCACCCCCACCTCCCCTCATCCCTCCCCCCACCCTGTCATCCGCCACACGACTGACCCCGCCCCCCATCCCCGCCCCTTCGGTGCCCAACAACCTGACGTACATCATCTGGCCGCATGCCCTGGAAATCGCGCGCGAGGTGCTCTTGGATGAGGACACTGTCGGGCTCACCTACTGGCTGGTCGACGCGGTGACCGCGGATGGCGCGGCTGCGAGTGAGATATACCCCGTGCTGGGCCACGACGCTTTGCTCAAGGCGCAGCTGGGCGAGTGCATGGCCAAGTTCCTCGAGAGACGCTGCGAGGGCATGAACAGACTGCTTGGAGAGGGCGCGCTCGACACACAGGTGGGCGAGCTGGGGATGAAGGGAAAAGCATAGCATGAGTCTTTCTTCTTTTTGCATCCATCTGTCCGTCTGTCTGTCTGTCTGTCGATCTGATCTGTCAGGCGACTGATGACGCGCGCAACAATTTGGTGCCGTCGGTGCACGCGCATCCGCACCGGCAGCGCGAGATCGTCCAGGAGTTCATCTACCACTTCGTGGCTTCCTTCACCAGCCACGACCGGCACCTCGCATCCTTCGTGGCGGCCCTACTGCCCAAGACACACGACCTCTACCCCCTCGCAGACTCACCCAAGCTCCTCACCGCCACAGTCGTCGACCGCCTGGCCGAGCTCAAGGCAGCAGCGGCCCAGGTGGCCCTGCACTACCTGCAGAGCCAGTCGGTCATGCCCAACACCGAGGCACACCGCATGCGCCACCTGGGCTTCTTCAACCACTTCTCGGTGCAGGAGGGCGGCTCGGTCAACGTCCATGTGCGGCCCGACGAGCCGGGCTTCGCGCAGTCGGACTTCCGCATCCGGCTGGTCAACGACCACGCCTCGCTGGTGCTGTTCCTGGTGCGGCTGGAGCAGTACATCGGCTCCCACCTGCTGCACATGCCCTCCTCCGTCCCCCCCACATGCCTCCCCACCGCCTCCGCCAGCCCCACCCCCCTGAGCATGAGCCAGAGTGCAGCCCGAGGCCAGGGGGGAGGACAGCAGCAGGGCCCTGGCGAGACCACCCCGTTCCCCCTGCCGCGGCCGCGCATCCAGGAGCACCCTGTGATAGCGTGTGATTTGGAGGGCGTCAAGCTGAGTCGGTACGGGCAGCTTTGCCTGGCGCAGTTCTGCTACGCGGGCGACCCGCGGACCACGTGGGTGGTGGATGTGTATAGCATGGGCCCAAGGGTCTTTGACGTGTCGTCGCCAAACGGCACATCGCTCAAGAGCATTCTCGCTGACCCGGCCGTCCTCAAAGTCTGGTTCGACCCGAGGTACGTGTGCAGCCAGGGCAGGGCAGGGCAGGCACAGAGAGAGAGAAGCATGTTTGTTCTTCCACTATGGCCTGTGAATGTGTGTGCTGTGTGTTTGTTGGTTCAGAAATGACGTGGATGCGTTGTTCCACCAGTTCCAAGTGCGCGTGAGGTCTGTCTTCTGCCTCCAGCTGGTCCGTCCGTCAGGCACACACACACACACGAAAGGATGGAACAAACCGTGACACATCATCGCTGCATGTGTGTGTGTGTGAATGTATTGTGCAGGCTGAGGTAGCCTTTCGACGCAGTCAGAACGTGCCCGTCAAGTACGTCAAAGGCCTCTTCAAAATGCTCAACTCATCAGACGCACTCTCACCCGCCGAAAAGGTCAGGGAACGCCTTGCCATGCCCCCCCCACACACACAGGCCCACATGGCGGAAATTGTTTGTGATGTGATGTGTTGTGGTGAAGGCGTTTGCGCACAAGATCAACGAGATGGGTAAGAATCTGTTTGAGCCGGACAACGGAGGGCGGTACGAGGTGTTCCAGGAGCGGCCCCTCAACCTCGTCATTCTCGTCTACGCCGCACACGACGTCCACTTCATGCTCACACTCTACAAACGAGCGGTGAGGGAGACAGACGAGCCCACCAACACACAACACACAGATGAGCGCCTGCCTCTCTCTCTGTGTGTGTATGTGTGTGTGAGGGTGCAGGCAGAGCAGCTGGGCCCGTATTGGCTGCAGCGCATCTTGGAGCACTCGGCTGTGCGGGCCGACTGGTGCGATAAACCCGAGTACGAGGTGCCCTCATCGGAGGCACCTGACATGTGATGAAGATCGAACCACTCACGCAGTGCCACACGCGCAGCCAGGTCGTAGGGGGGCTTTTATCCGCCTGCCATACTGCAAAGGGCGGCCAGTGGGATAAGTGAGGGCAAACAGACAGACAGACAGACAGACGGGGGGATGTGCATAAGGGGGGTGGGGGACGAAGGGGTCGGTTGGTTGGGCAAATGACCCACTTGTGCGTGTCTGTGCGTGTGCGTGAGATGGTCAGATTATGACGTACCTATGTATCGCATTATCTTGATTTCCATGGAGCCATGCCATCCATGTATGTGCGTGCATATGTGCATGTCGCGTCGCACGGACGTCCGTCCACATGACAACATGTGAGTGAGTGTTTCACACAATACACGCACTTTACAATGCACTCGATCGTGCGGTGTTCGTTCCTGTTGGTCTGTGCACGTGATTGACGTACGTGTGGATGATGATTGAACGGATGAATGATGAGCATGAGTCGAAGTGGGCTTGCTCGACACGCACACACATGCAGCGGCGATAAAGGCCGCCGACGGAAGTGTCCGAGGGATCACGCATGTGCATCAAAATGTGGCCTACGTAAGCTACCTATACACATACTCTCACCACATCCCCATACTGCACCACACACCCTGTCCATCTAGGATTCTAAGACATGGGCTACATGTGGTCCAGCAGCACCACGAGCCCCCTCATTGCCGACGCATAAAAGTGCCACACAGAGTGCCAGACGACATACTCGCCGAACGTGTGGACGCCCCACGACATCTGCTTGCACAGAAACGACCCCACCACGCCGCAGCAAGCGACACAAAACGGTCGGTAGCCAGCCATCAGGAACCACGGCAGCCTCAAGAATTGGAACAGGAAGTTGGCCGCCCCCACCCAGCGATCCAGCAGATGCAGCGCCCGCTTCCACCGCTGCTTCCGCTGCCCAGTGATGAAATAGTCGGACACCAGGGAGAGCGCTGCCGTGACGACCCATAGGACGCTCTCGGGCCGGTCGACGGACCACAGCGTGTAAGCGGGGAAGAGGAAGGCCAGGCACGACAGGCCGACGATGACGGAGCGGGACTGGCCGAACTTGTACGTGTCGGGCAGATCCCAGAAGTTCTCCCTAAGGGAGGAAGTCACACACGCACCGCATACAAGACAATTCTGGAGTGCACGGCTGTCGTCATATTATGATGATTGTTCCCTGCCTTACGTGATGAATTTGGCGAGTTCTCGCCGCTTCTTCCTTATCTTGGAATCGTAGTCTTCAGCCACGTGCTTGTCAGTCACTCCTGCAGCCCTCTGGCGGGTGGCGCCGCCTTTCCGCTGGCTCCCCGCAGACACAGCGAAGCTCTCCATGGTCGTGTGGAATGTGGGCTCGTCCCGCACTGTCGATGCTACCGGTGGATGGTTGGTGCGGGCGAGGCGAAAAGGGGCGGTGGGGACGGCCGAAGCTGCTTGTGAGGGCGCAGATCATAACATAGAGGCGTCAGTAGGGATGCTCACGAGTGGAGGAGCGCACCGCGACCACGTCCGCCACCCACACTGCAATTGCCACACTGCTGGCACCTGAAACACAGTCAGGGCCTCCTTGCAAATTTATGAATCATGCTGACTGTCCCGTTCATGGTGTGGCACCGCCAGGGATGCTAGACACCCTCTCCAATCCCCTCCGCGCCTGCTTAGCTCGCAACGGGTGTTAAGGAAATATGTGTTGCTGCATCTGCCCTCTGCGTGCTGCGTGTTGCGTGTCCGGGTTGCATGTTAGGGGGCGTGTTTTCATGTTGGACAGACCAACAGGGGACTTGGCCGCCAGGCCGCCTCGGGTGCTCCCTGAAATCGCTGCTGCTGGTGTTAAGGAAATGGTGAATGTGGCGGCCCGCAGATGGATAACCACAGCTTAGCTCATTCGGTTGGTCCGTAACAACGCCTTTTGGCGCAGAGCAACCTGTTCAGCAGCAATTGTTCAGCAGATCTTGAAGAGATGACCACCCTGCCGTCTGATGATTCGGCAGCTCAAGTGGACGCCCTTCTCGCGTCGACGGACAGCAGGACGGCGTTCGAGCAGCGCCTCGATGCCCTCGCTGCCACTAACGCAGCCGGCAATGACACCACCAATATGGCCATTCTCCTGCGCATCCGTGCCCGGTGCAGCAGCCCCGCCCCTCTAGCGCGTCTCGTGTGGACCTGCGTCATGGATGCCGCGGCCCCGCCCCACCGCAGGGACATGGCACTGATCATCGCAGCATCTCTGGGGAGCGGCGGCACCCAGCCTGCCGTTCGGGATGCCTTCATCAAAGCACTCATCGCCCGCGAGGGGTCGCCGCAGAGGCTGCTGACGGCTGCGGTCGGCCTCATAAGGGCGCCTGGTCATCTCAATGTGCAAGATCCTCCAGTACGGCAGGGCGCTCATGTGCAAGATCCTCCAGTACGGCAGGGCGGTCGACAGGACGCAGGACTTCCACGGGCATCTGGTGGCCAACCACATGGACTTCCTGCACATGGTCGACGACATGGCTGCACACAGGTCAGTGCCAATGGGTGGACGGGTGGACGGATGGAAGGATGGACATAGGTCGTTGACTCGACTGGCTGCCCTGCTTCGTGACATGTGCATTGTCAGGGATGCGCCGTGGACTCCCCCGTTTGCTCCGGATGTGGTGATGATGGAGTTCATCGGGGAGCTGCTGGATGGAGCAGAGCCGTCGGCCGCCCTGGTGTCCTTGAGGCTGGCGTCATTCCACAGACTGATGGCCATGCCGCCCAGCGAGTGCTTGCCGACCTTTGAGCTTGTGAAGAAGATGGATGGATTCGTGCGTCAGGTGCTGGTCAAAGGTGAGTCATTCAGTCAGTCCGTTGCTCGAGCGCGTTGTTGATGGCAATGAATCAGTGAATGTATGGTTGTCTGTGCTTGTGTGTGCAGAGCGGCCAAGCGAGGTCGACGCTGCAATTGTGGGCGCACTCCAGAAGCACGTCTTTGTCTATGCAGACCAGTTCGTGGACGTCCTCACGTCCACCAGTGCAACCCCTGCAGACAAGTGGGCGGCGTCTGTCAAGGTGGGAGCCTTCACCAAACTCATCGCTCTGCTGCTAGAGGAATTCCTAGGTATGTGTACCACGCAGGTACATATGCACCAGGCCATCGATCCCTCCCTGTATGGTATGCGTTTGTGTGTGCAGGGGGGTCTTGTGTGTATGTCGTTAAAGTGGGCGACTTCGTCGAGAGAGTGACCCAGCCGGCCGTCTTGGGGGGCATATCGAGTGCCCTCAGCGACGTGGCTCCCACTCTAGATGGCCACACAGCACTGCCGGAGATCAGCATCGCTCTCTCGACGCCATTGCTAGCAAGTAGGTCACCTGACAGGCAGACAGAAAGACAACGAACAGGGCAAGGAAGGGCGATGTTGTCTTGGCTTGCTGTCTGTTTCTTTGGCTGCCTGAGTGCAGGACACACTCAGTCCCTCATCGAGTCGGGGCTGCCCGCGACCTTCGTCAAGCTTGTCAACGACGACAAAGTGATGCGCGGCGTGCAAGGGCTGATGGTTCTTGCTCTTCTCATGCGCCTAATGCAGAGAACAGCAGCAGATGCACCTCAGGTACATCTCTGTGGGCCGAGTGGGTCCCTCTCTGCACGCGTGTGTGTATGCGCCTTGCTCGGCAGGTCGCCGTCCGGGAGCAGTTTGCCCCTGTCGTGTGCAAGTTGCTCTGCATGTCGAGAGGCCATCACGGCACCAATGCAGAGCTCGATAACGTCGAAAAGAGTGTCGTCGACAGCGCGTATTATATCCTGGAATTACTCATCAAGTTAGTGGGTCACTGACACTGACTGACGGCGCAGCGCGACTTCGTCTGTACTCCCGGCATGCAGATATGGGGAAGAGCGGATGAAGAAGAAAGGCCAAGCCCAAAACAACATCGCAGCAGAAATCCTACAAGTAATTATGCACACACAACACGCACCCCAAGACAATCCATACCACCACGTGGGTCATTCTCTCCCTCTCTCTGTGGTCAGCTCGACTCTGTTAAGGCGCTACGTGGAGTAGAACAGCGGAAGGGCAAGAAGGACAAACAACTCAACGTGCCCGAAAAGGTCAGCTAAGACGCACACCGCATCACGTCACGTACACCCCCCCCCATGACTCTCTGTCGTGGCTATCCCGATCATCTCATGAATCGACATGCAGGTGCTCGCACTATTTAATCGCATCGAGAAGGAAGAGGACAAGCGCTATGAGATGGTGTATCAGGAAGCCATTGCCGACATGTCATCATCACCCCAGCAGCAGACACACCCCACTACCACTACCACCACCACCACCAGTACCGCACCACCCGGCAAGAAGAAGCGACCCAACAACAAGAAGAAGGGCAAGGGCGGAGGAGGCGGGCAGGCCAGTGCATCGGCGGCCGCCAGTGCATCGTCATCTAGCGCCGCTGTCGAACACACAGGGTGGCAAAAGAGGGGACGGGGCCCGCTAATCGATATCTGTGTGACATGTCATGGCCGTCTGCCCCTCTGTTGTTCGGTCAGTGCTGAGTTGTCTGATGATGGTGGCGTGCCGGCCGAGGAATGCAACGATGGGTCGGATGGCGACGAGCAGCAGCCATCGGTGTCCGGAGGCGGTCCCTCTAATGATGTCGATCAGGGGTACACACACCACACACACCACTGCTGCCGCGTAGGACACATATATGCGATCTTTCTTCCTTCTTATTCTGCAGGTCTGTGGGTCGTCCGACTGGTGTGTTGTCTCCGTCGACAAAGCAACACTGGTGGGCGTGGGTGGGATGCAAACGGCACTCGCGTCGGGCATGACACTCCGTCATCGTCTGTGTACGGTCCCTTCTGTCAGTCGTCTGCCGTGTTTGACTCCTCCACCGTCCTCCCCTCCCCCTCACCCGACGCTGCCCACACCTCCACCCGCCTCTGACTGCCCCCAGCGGCACGACAAGGACAGCAGGGCCAAGACCGCTTCACAGCCAACCATGTCGCCCGCTGAGCTGGCAGCCCAGGAAGCCGCGGCCAAGCGGACTGAAAGCCAGAAGGAGGGCAAAGGCACAGAGGACCAGACGGCCAACACAGGCAGGGGCAAGAAGACCAAGAGCGGCAAGGGCCGACAGCAGCAGCAGCAGCAGCAGCAGCGGAATGAGGCAAGCCCCTCTGATTCGGTGGTGGAGCCATCGGCGCCCTCCACTGCCGCATCCACCAGGTACAGCCGTGAGCCACCCGAGGATGACTGATGGACGACTCACTGCCTGTCTGCCTGTCTGCCTCATGTGTGTGTATGGTGTGTCCAGTCGGGCGTCGGCTGCGGCTGATGAGGCTGAGGCGGGCCAGCCGGAGCCCTCGTCGTCCAGTGCGATCGCCATGTGAGCAATCAATCCACTTTGCCATTGGCGACTTATTCGCTCTGTCTGTCCTGTGTGTTGGCTTCTCTTTGCAGGTCGAGTGTGGCTGCTGTGCCGTCCGTGTCTGCGTCGCTGGCGGACGGCGATCGGCCTGGCGGCGAGGCAGTCGAGTCGACGGCTGATGGAGGCGACGGCGATTGTGCGGCTAAGGACGGTGAAGCGATGCTGCTCAATTCGGCATTCGCACAACGCGGAAGACACCAGATGAGTCAGGGCAAGAAACAGAAACAGAAGGACAAGAAGAGCAGTACGAGGCCCCACCGCCCACATGTCAGCTGAGCAAGCCTTCCCGGCCCTCGTTCCCACCTGCCGCCAATGAGGATCGTCATCAGGCCGCCAACACAGACATCCGGATGCCCGCCCCCATTCCGCTGTCGAGTGCTGCATTCTCTGCGGGCCGGCTCAAGTCGTCACCAGGCAATGGCGGGATGGTCCCTCATATGCCGAAGCGGCCGTCGATTCCGGGTGACGACTGCAGGACCCCCACCCTCGACGGCCCCTCTGTCAGCTGTGGAGCCCGGGGCACGAGCGGGCAGCTGCACGTAGATCGCCAGCAGCACTGGGGCTTCCCGTCTGCTTCACGTGCCATGAGCGACAGTGACGTGGAGGATGAGTCGCCTCTGCTCCCCCGCAACCAGCGGGGACTGCTGGGCAGCGGATATGGGATGGGAGGGGGCCGGGGGGTCGACGCGAGACAGCGGGAGGAGGTGGAGCGTCGCGAGCACGACAGGAGGCCAAAGGGGTCAGAAACACTGACAGCACTAGATAGAATAAGGCCTACACACGATTTCTGTTGCTGTCTGTGCGCCAGGGGAGGCGACGGTGGGGCCACGAGTGACAAGGTGCAGATCCCGAAGGGCAACAACAGGGTCAAGACCACGGGGTCGAGCAGCCCTAGGTTTGTGCCACCATCGACATCGTAAGCAAAAACCTAGGACGACGCAGATATGCAAACGAGGGGGCGAGGGGAAGCGGCGTTTGTGTTCCCTCTTGCAGAAATGGCTTTCACGACGGTGCCCATCCCAGTGACTTGCCCGACATGTGAGCAAAAGATGTGATCTTGTGCGCCAACCACGGACAGCCCACATGCACGACACCCACGGCTGTCTGCTGCAGGCTTGAGGATCTAATGAACTACATGCCGTCAATTTCGTCGAGCGCCCCGCCGCCGCCCGCATATAGGTGAGCGAGTACACAAACACACAGCGTGCGTGAGGTGAGGCGATGTGATGTGATGTGATGTGATGTTGAGTGTGTAAGTCCCACTGGTATCAACATGAGTGTGTGTTGCTGTGTTGTGTGTGTGTGCAGAACCGACGATGAACGTGAAGCTGAGATGGCCATCGCTGCATCGCTCCAGGAGGCGGTTGACGAGTTGGAGCAGCTTAAGGGGCAGATCGCCACTGCAGAGGAGCAGAAGACCGAGTAGGCGCACGAAAGGACACGGCCATAACACCTGGCCAACAGGTGACATTTGCTTGTCTTGCCCTGTTGTTGCTCGTCAGCTTGGAAGCTTCTCTGCGTCACGTCCAGGAGTTGCTCGGCCAGATGGAGGCACAGGAGGCACAGCTCACAGACGAAAACGGCAGACTGCGCGAGGCCAATCCCATGTACGCAGGCAGACAGGCAGGCAGGCAGGCAGGCAGGCAGGGATCGAGGGAGAAAGGAAGGCATGTGCGCCTACATCCGTGTTTCTATCATTTCTCCATGGCTGCCCTTTGTGTGTGTATCAGTCTGAGTGAGGATGAGCTGGCGCTGAGGGCCACAGCAGACGATGTGCGGCGGCTCCAAGACTCCATCGACAAGCGCGACACCGAGCTGCGCCAGCTCATGACCTCAGACGTGTCGCAGCGGCTGATGGAGCTCGCACAGGCCGCCAGCGGAGGGCAGCCAAACGGGCCTTCCAGCGATGACCGAGCCCCACTTCTCATTCCCCCTCCCGCCATGCCCCCAAGGAGCGACAGGTGGGCGGCAGCAGACAAAGCATGTGGCCCTTGCGTACGTCTGCATGTGTGTGGTGGCATGTCTGCAGCCCTCCGCCATCTGCTGCTGCTGCAGAGCGTGTGTGGCTGGACGAGCTGGACCGTTCCGAGTGCGACATTGCTGAAAAAATCGCCATGGCAAAAAAACACATGGAGGACGTGCACACCGTTATCCATGAGTAAGACGGCACCGAACACACAGATGGAACGCACAAACGTATGTATGTCTCTGTATGCGTGTCTGGTTTGTTTCAGGTTGATCGTGTCGGTTAGCGAGGCCAAGGCCAAGAGGGCTGCATACAGGAGCAGGCTGCAAGGCCTCATTGACGACAACGAAGACCTCAGGCAACGCGACGCAGATCGGTGAGAAGACCTATCAAACTGCCTGCCTACCTGCCTGTGAATCTGCCTTTCTGTCTCCTGTGTGTTCTCCTCAGGCTGACCAAGGAGAAGCTTGACGGCCTCACGTCGATTCCCGCCGTCATGCAGTTCCAGTGGGCGGCCACCAGCGAGTCAGCCCGCCTGAAGCAGCTCAGGGACCAGTGCAACAAGCATCTGATGATGCTGCGAGACGAGTCCTACCAGAACGACGTGGAGGGCCGCCTCGCCGCAGCAAGGGAGGCAAAAGACAGAGAGGCGGCCGAGCAGCTGCGCAGAGAGAAGGAGGCCGCAGCCAAGATGATCGCTGACATGGAGGCACAACTAAAGGAGGAACGGGCCAAACACGCCGAAGACGGCGACAAGGACAAAACCAACCCGAAGTGTGTGGTGTGTTTGGCGGAGCCGAATGACATTGCACTGGTGCCGTGCGGCCACCAGTGCCTCTGCAAGGGTACGTACGGACATAGGCCTATGTGCATGGGGGCCAATCAATCAACAGGGTCGTGTTTGCACACCGTTTGCACATTTGTGGCGTGTGCAGGGTGCTTGGAGCGATTGAGGGCTACGGCCAAGAAGGGCAAGAAGAAGGTGCTGTCAGTGACCTGCCCCGTGTGTCGCGCCGAGGCTACGAGTGTTTTGCACGTGTACAACCAGGGACACCGGGATTAGGCGGGCAGGCAGGCAGCGAGCCCTTCCTTCCTTCATTCCTTCTGTGTTGCGTGCATTGTGATGTTTATCCATGGCGGTGCCTTGCCGGGGCGGATACGACATCGCTGGATGGGGCCATGAGGGGAGGGGGTCAGTGAGGGAGGGAGGGACAGTCTTGTGTGGTGCCGGCTGCATATTGTGAGGATTTAATGGCGTCTCTTCTGCGCAGAGAGTGAGTGAGGCATGTGAGGTCTTTTATGCGTCGGGGAGTGGGTGAGTGAGCTGCGTGTGTGTTTGTATCGCTCCCTGGAAGGATTCAATAGTGTCTTCGGGTCACATGGCTGGCTGGGTGGCTAGAGAGCTTCCACGCATATAATGATTACATTTGTGTGCCTGCGTGTATTTATCGCTTGTGTGACCATATCTATCTGTGTATGCCGACTCGATGTGGGTGCGGTGCGATTGTGGGGGCATTTCTACATTCGTGACTTGCTCGCTTCCACATGGGTGTGAGTGGTACAGACCGTCAATCTCGCGGATGCATCTCAATGCATTTGTGTTCTTTCGCGAGAGGTTTGTTGGATCTTGAACACTGATGCCACGGCACGCACGAAATCACGAAATGCAGCCGTATGAAGTCAAACCCACGCAGTCCATCCATCCATCCATGCGACGCTTGCCGCCTACACACACCTGCTGGCCCTCCCTTCCCTCTGCTATGAGGTGTCCGCCAACTCTGTACAGCTAGGCAGTCATCAAGACATCCACACACACGTACACACACATTCAGGCAGCCATGCACCACACGGATGTCGCCAGCCACCGCCCGCTACTCAACAGCAAGCAACTCCCCCACTCCCCGTCTGCTACGGTCCGTCACGACAGCCGGCCTGCCAAAAAACCGCCAACACACAGCGACATCAGCATGGCCATGCATACAATCAGACCTTCATGTCAGTGCCCTCCTCACCTCGGGCATTGCGAACTGCAGTCATTTTCACATACGTGCCCCCAAAGGATGGGATGATGTGTCTGATTGTGAAGCCATCGATGTTGGTGCCCTCGGGGAGGGAGGCAACATGGAGTGCACACCCAGCGTCACATACTGCAGGCCCCTGATGCGCTGAATGAGCGATGAGAGGCGGGCGTGCACGTAGCTGCCTGCATCCTCCTCGACATCAGCATCATCCGGCACTGAAGGAAGTCACACACACACACAGTACAGCAAGGGATGTTTGCACAAGACGGAAGGACACATTCCCCCCCTCCTTCCCCCTCTCTGCGTACGCGTCATGGTAATCCACTTGATCTTCGGCAATCCGCCGGCCGCCCCCACCAGCTGGTCGACACCGACCCCTCGCATCTCCACCTCCCCCACCTCCCTCTCACTCCCTAGCGCTTCCAAGACGGTCACCGCCTCACCACCCCTCAAAACGCGAATGTCCGCCCTCGTCACCTTGTCAGGCATCTTGTCAGCCAGCAGCCGGCCCGCAGCACCCAATCTGGTGTTGATCTGCAGCGATGTGGCCTTTGGGAATGGCTGGAATGGGAGGTGGGCGATGATGGAGGGGTGGGGCGAGTCGGCGTTGCCGGGCGGATCGAAGCCAAAACCGCTGTCGACCCCCACATAGATGGCGTTGTCGAATGTGAGTGGGTTGGCAATGTCGATGGCGGCCTGGCTGGGGTTGCGGAGGTCGTCAGTGAGGTCGTCCTGGGTGATGGTGTACTTGACCTGTGCGGCGTCGCTTGCCACCTGCTGGATGACGCTCTTGAGCCAGGGCGAGGGGTGGATGGGGAACTCGCTGTGGTAGAAGAGGTTGAGGTCGAAATACGTCCAGCCAGGGGAGCCAGAGGAGGTGAATGTGACGGGGGCGTCCTGTCGGCAGCACTCGGTGGCCAGCCGGTCCAGGGCCAGCAGGACGGGAAAGTGTCGCGGGCGACACTGTAGTAGCGATCAACAACCGACACGTCCAGCCGCTCGAGGGACCGTCGGCAGCCGCGCGCCAGGAGCACAGCCTGAAGGCAGGAACACACAAACGAGAGGTCACGAACCAACTCACAGGCCCTGCTGTGCGTTTCCTTTGTTGTTACCTGAAGCCGCTCGACGCCCAGCTGGTCGGTGCTATCACCACGGATCTTGATGGTGCCGATGGCCTCCAGCTGGGAGAGTGGCCCTCCCTGCTGCCCAGGAGGGGTCTCAGGAATGCCCTCAAACACACCCGCCCACTCGCCCTCGTCAAAGTCGCCGCCGACACACCGCAGCTTGATGGACTGATGAATCGGCTCAGGTTGGCAGCCAACCACCCCTCCTGCTGCACGACCGCGAGTGACGACACTCGCCAGCGGCGGTCGGCCAGTCCCTGATGGTCGGGCATCAAACCGACGATAGTGGTGAGTGCGGGGAGGGCCGGGGGCGGGTCGGCAAGGGGTGGGAGGGGTGGGTGTGTCCTTGTGACAGTCTCCATCTCCTTGCGGGTCAGCCGGACTCCCTCGACGGTGATGGTGTGCAGTGTGCCGCCTTCCATGTTGGCTGCACGCCGCGCAGCGATATGACCCTCCACCATGGCAACGAAGACGTCAAAGACCCAAAGAGGGAAGTCGATGGGGTAGCAGAGGACGACACACGTCAGCTGTGTGAGCAGTGCCGCGAGCTGATTGACGAGGGTCATGGGCACTCGCTGCCACAACGACCGCTCCTCTCTGTCCTCTGCGCTGATGACAAGGCGATGCTGGCGGGGGGCCGCCTGCTGCCACGTCTTTTTGGACACACGGACGAGCAGGTGGAGGGGGAGGAAGGCCATGACGATGCTAAGGAGGCCCGGCTGCACACAAAGACACAGCACATATGACCGGAAGAGAAATCCATCAGTGCACACATGGCCTCAGTCTGTCGGCGGCTTACCGTGTCTGAGATTTGCTGCCGAAGGTTTCTCTCCCTCTCACTCACACCACCACCACCACCAGCGGATGCCGATGAAGCCGCAGCAGCAGATGCTGCCTGTGCGTCGTCATGGCGAGAGCTCTCCACCTGCAAACATGGACGCAACACGCAATCCACCAATGCAATCAGCTGCAAGGCAGACGTGTGCTGCGCCTCACCTGTCTATCGTCCTCCATAGCTATCTGTAGCTCCAGATGCTCTTGGCTGCGATGGGACGTGAAACTCCAAGGCCTTCTCTGAGGCGCTAATACCCACTGGTGCTCACGTTGTTACCAAGTCCCTCCCTGACGCACACATACACAAAACCAGACAGACAGACAGACAGACAGACAGACAGCAGGCACATGAGGGCGGCGCCGACGGGCGAATTCGCCTTCTCGCTGCCTGACGTACCGCAGGATGGATGGACGTCAGCACGATGCTTCTTATTCAGCCATTCATTGAGTATGAGGTTCAGCGGGCACAGTACGGCACCAGCCGCCCCTCGATGCGCACAAGAATCCGATATTCCTCCTTCTTCCCCCACGATCTGCGAGCTTAAGTTGGGGAGAGCCGAGGATCGGACTCATTGCAAATCGGCGAAAGAGCCTCCATATGGACTGCACATTCACACCAGGCCACGGCACGCAGTCAGCGCAGCCGTATGAGCGTACGCCATTCGTATCTGGTTCTCAAGTTCTCTCAACTGCCTGACGGAAACAGCCCAGCGTGGGTAACTGCCCAGCCATCGTTCGTTGTCCATGCCTGCACCCGCCCACACCACTCAGCGACTCAACGCATGCATCAACTTGAAGTCACCGACAGAGTGATGAAGAGTGACGTGAAGAGTGACGTGAATTACATCCTCAGCTGAAGCGGCGTGCAAAGCGCCGAACCGCCAGTTTAATTAAATACACAAAGACACACCTGATAGACTGTCGTACAGCAAAAAAAGAAAACGACCCCACGCCCAGTCGATGGCCGCGCGCACCCCCTCCCCCGCATCGCGATGTGCGTGTGGTGGCATGGAGACATTGAGAGGGTGGAAGCACAAGCTGAAGTGCGTTGGCCGACAGATGCCGTCTGGTGGAAGGAATCGGTTCCATCAATCCCACTTGGTCCGCTCACCACACAGATACACACAACACACAAGGCACCTACACGCCCACTCAAGGACATCCCACGCAATACAATAAACATACGCAGCCCAGCCCCGCAGGGACCACCACTGTGAAAACCCGGCAAACACACGAACACACACACTCATAGCACAGCACAGCGTGGCATGCCACAAGACCATTACTTACAGTCACTCATCAAGACAGACAGACAGACACACATACACACACAGAGAGAGAGAGAGAGAGAGAGAAGGAAAGACATGTACACTACCAAATCGATCGGCGCACCTACAGACGCCAGCCAATGGCAGACAGCCGCCCGCCACAGCACAGCACAGCACAGCACCACAGGACATGTGTGTGTGCGTGTGTACGTGTGTGTCAGCGCAGTTGAGGTCGCTACTTCACTCAGCAACGCTCCAAGGGAACAACACCCACATATCCACATTGCATTGACAGCCACTCACAGCACACACGCACACACACATGTTCGTTTGGCCAGGCAAGATCTCTCACTGCACTGACCATCCGAGCACGGAGAAGCACGACAGACGAGACGACACATAAACGGACGAACACTACCTCTTCGCACAGCCCCGGAAAGCGTGACACACACAGCCCAGCATCACATGGGACTCACATAGGTCACATACACACACGTACACTTACAGACAGAAACAGCACTGTACTCGAGTGCTTCTACAAGAGCCCCCACGTGCAGATGAGCATCGCTAGCACCATCCCGCCCCACCACAAGCTCCCCACAGACACCGCTGCGCTTTCAGACGGATCGGGTGTGCTTATCGTAGGCGGTGCAGTCTTAATCGGCTCGGGTGTTGTTGTCGTAGGGGGTGCGGTTGTCGTTGTCGGCTCCGGGGTTGCTGTTGTTGGGCTCCGGTGTTGATGTCGTAGGGGGTGGAGGGGGGCTTGTACTCGGCTGAGGCGTAGTGGGAAGAGGAGGCAGTATGTCGGCGATTTCCCCGCTCACTTGCAATACTTCGATATCGTCAGCCACAAAAAACTCCGACCCGCCCAGCGGAAGACCGCCATTTCTCTCCGATACATAGTCCTCTGTCGCCCCCTCGTAGCCCTCAGGCAGCCAGTCCCATCTGGTCTTCTGACTGCACTCGCGGATGTCAGCAGCAGGGCGACTGCTGCCGACGTCGGCCAGGAACAACCCCCCAACATACATCCTCGCAGCGGATCTATGTCTTCCCACCCGTACTGTCCCATTCCTCCCCGCCACATCGCACGTGACCCTCCAAGGTATGTCGATCCTGGTCGGCTCCTTGTAGCGTCCCGACAAGGAGAACCAGAACACCTCACACTGGTACTTGCGGCTCTCATACGGGTTGGCGGGCGTCTGGATACCTTCGCTGATGTAGACGCCGAAGACATACTTGTCTTGGCGGATGACAATCGCCAAATCCTTTTCATTCGCCACACGGTCCAGCAGATAGGTATATGTTGTAGCGTTCTCATTCTCAGAGGCCCTGTATGGCACACAGAGACACATACACGACAGCCACTGTCGATCTTTTGATGCACATACGTGTGTGTGTTTGTACGGATACATACCGGTACAGCATGGTGACCGTCGTGTCATTTGATGGCTTCAACAGGCTAAGCAGCCCGCCGTACTCCACGTCAGACAGCGACGAGCCGGCAGGTGGTTGAGCAGGTGGTGCGGGAGGGGCTGGGGTAGTCGGTTGTGGCGGGTACATCTGAAGCACCTCTACCTCATCGGCTCTAAAAGGTAGGCTGCCCCCCAGCAGTGCATCGCCATCTCCGTCCCTTTCGCCCGTATAGCCCTCTGGCACATACTCCCTGGGGGTGTACTGCAGGCCGCGGTCAATCCAGCCATCGAACAAGTCATCCCTCGTCGTCTTCAGGCCCAACCACATGAGCCCACTTACATACAGCTTCCTTTCACACCGATAACAGGTTGTCGCCTCCCTGCCTGCCACCTTCACGATCTGCCACGATCGCAATAGCTTGACCTCGGTCGGCATGTCGGAAGTGCCCCGCCAGTGAGAACCACAAAACCTCACTCTTGTAATAATGGCTCTCCGTCGCGTTGGCGGGCGTCTGGATGCCGTCCTTGATGTAAACGCCGAACACATTCTGACGCGAACGAATGACGATCGCCAAATCCGTCTTGTTCTCCACACTGTCCAGCAGATCGCTATATGTTGTGCCGTTCACAGAGGCCCTACATGCGAGACACGCGCACACACATGCACGACAGATAGCCGCTGTTGGATGCACTTACACACACATCGGTATACCGACCTGTAGAGGGTCGTGAAGTTCGTATCATCTGTTGCCTGCAGCAGGCCACGGAGGCCCTCATACTCTGCTTGGGACAGGCTGGTGCCGACGGGCCGAGTGTCCTGGAGATGACGGACCTAAACACACACACGTACGCGCGTAAGTCAGAGCAGCCGCAGACAGACAGACAGACAGACATCGAGGAAAGGCAGCTGACTGATGTTACGCTGCCTGTGCGTGTGCGAGCGTGTGCGTATCTATGCGGTACAGACAAACATACCTCGTGTGTTGTGCTTGTGGGCGTCAGACAGAGGGCGAGCGTCACGGCCAAGGCCAACAGCATCATGCCACGGAGAACCACCATTTGGGTGAGGGACCGAAGGACACGCCCAGAGCAACCGTGTATGTGTGTGTGGGCGTCTGTGAACAGTGATCCGCGAGAAAAGGACACACTGACAGACAGGAGAGAGAGATCTGGCCGCGAGACTCACTCACGGGACGGCAGGAAGGATGCGCAACCGACAGGCGAAAACAGACAACAGATGGGCGGGTGATTCACGAGATCAGGCAAGCAGATCTCCCTCTTCCACTCCCTCCTGCCTCTCTGAGGCTCTAGGGTCTCTGTTTCCGTTTAACCCTGAGAAAGGGCGCGATCCCGCAACCTCTTGAGTGCAGCCACGGCGCCCGGGACAAATCCTCTGTTACCGCATATGAGTGCTACGAATGTGTGCGGCTGAATTAACAGATCGAATCCCTGTCACCACTCACAAGCGCCTTCACCATGGCGCCTTCACTCTCAGCTGCCCCCCCGAATGTGTTCAACCAAGTTGACGCCCAGTAAGCCTACAGACGAGAATGGACAAAGCGAGCGATGGACAGACGGATGGACGGATGGATGGATCTCTGGCATGCTGTCGTCAGTTAGGGCGCCGGCAGGGCTGTGGACGCCACGTGTGGCAACGGCAAGGACTCTCTCTTCCTCAGCAAGCTGATCCAGGACCTCCCCTCTGACGATGGTGATGCGACTGAGGCCGAGCTGATCTGCATCGACCAGCGAGAAGCTATCGGTGACTGAGAACGCACGAGGCACACATCATCGAAATCGCCGGTTTGCACTGTGCTGTTTTGTTTCTGATTCAACCCGGTCTCTCCTCGCCGAAGAGTTACTGCCACAGCATTTAGAGAGGCGGGTAAGTCGCCATGCCCCTGCAGCCAGGTCTGAGCTCTTGACACGTGTGTGCATGGTATGTTGCCCCTGCTGTCCATTTGTCCGTGCAGGGTCCGCTTCTTCCACGAGTCACGGAGCAAGTGTCGATGTCATAGCGTACAACCTCGGGTCAGCTCCGAGTAGAATGTGTGATTCATGTGTGTGGCATGTGTGGTGTGGCGGCAGGTACCTGCCTGGGGGGCGACAAGAGCGTGACGGCGCCCCACGACACCACCATCCCGATCGACCGAAGCGTCTTCTGTCGTCACAAACAGACAGTTGTGTTGGTCGACGTCTTTTAATCGCATTCAGTCTCTCCGTTGATCTGTCCCCCACTCTCCTTCCATCGCCGTCAAAAACAAGACGAGACAAAGAAAACGAGCAGCACAGCCAGCCAGCCTGCCTTCCACAACGCTCCTCTAAGCAGCACACACTCCGGGACAACAGACCACGGATATAAAATGTAGGCAGCGATTGCCGCTTGCCGCCGACAAGACTTGTCGCTGAGACACAGGAGACACCCCTCCTCTCTCCCTCCCCTCTCTCCCCTCTCTCGCTCCCCTCTCTCCCTACCCTCTCTCCCTACCCTCCCTCCACCCTCCCACCTCTCCTTAGCCTAAGGGGCGTCTGTCTGTGCCCCACCGCCCCTCTTGGCCCGCCACTGTGTTGTCTTCTTCTTCTTGTTATTGTTATTGTTCCTGTTCCTGTTGGGCGCCACGGTCGGCGCCGGGGCGGGCGCCAGGTTGCTAGAGGGCATGAAGGGCGCTGCGGCAGTAGCAGCGGAAGCGGCAGCATGCGATGGCGGCTGGTTGTCGTCATCTGCAGTAAGCACATACAGTGGAGTATAGACAAACAGGATAATTTCATGGACACGTCTTGCCGGCTGACCATGATTGTCGTCGTAGCCGTGGGTCAGGGACGAGCCGCCGCCGCCACCGCCCTGCACACACATTCATCCATCCAAAGCATACGTGAGGCGCGTGAGGCGTGTGTTTCTGTGTGTGTCTGTGTGTGTGTTGGGGGGGGGGCTACCTGCTGGTTGGTGGCCATCCTGCTGGGTCGCGCTGGCGGAGGGGGAAGTATGAAGGGCCATTGTGTGTGTGGGGGCTGGCCGTGGACGGGACCCGGACGCTGCTGCTGCCGTGGGTGTGCCTGGAACATCTGCTGCCGGACGCCGCCAAGAGCACGCGCGAAGGTGCCGCCCGCCACACGGGGAGGGTCCCTGGCTGGACGTGACAAAGCCTGAACACACACACGCACACACACACACACAGAAAGAGAGAGAGAGAGAGAGAGAGAGAAGGGACTCGCACGTTGATGTCGTGGCGACTATTCCCTCCCTCTCGCTCTATCTTTAAGGCTCTGTTTGTGAATGCGCACCGCACCTGTGCGAGGAGGTCGCCATGCTGGTCGTGCTGGTTGTGGTACTTGTGCTGGATCTCCCCGCGCACAGTCCGCAATTCCCTCTCCCTCTCCCTCTCTACATACCCCTGCTCGCCACCCACACCGGGCCGACCCACACCAGCACCAAAGCGCCCGTCCGCCTCCTCCACCCTCTCGCGCACTGCGCACCCGCCGCCGACGCAACTGTCGTAGCTATCTCTATCGCGAGGCCGACGATGCGCGGGGCCACGGTCTTCATGTCGGTCGTCGTAGCTGTCGTCTTGGCGGTCGGGGCGGAGGCGGGTCGGGCGGTTGTGGCGGTCCATGTGGTCACTGTCGAGCTCGTCATCGGTGTGGGCGTGGTGCTGGCGACGGGGCTGGCCGTTGTCATCGGCACGGCCATCTGAGAGAACGAGGCAGCATCAGGTGTGTGCACCTGTGTGTGCGTGTATGTGCGTGTGTGTATGTGCGTGTGTGTGCTGCGCACCGGCTGTGCGTGGGATGCGGTGATGGGGTCCGATGTGATATTGCGTGTCCTGCAGAAACTCACCTGACAACACACAACGGCCACACCACACCGCACCACACCACACCACACAGATACACTCACTCAGGACGGCATCTGCTTCCTCCCTCCCTCTCTGCCTCCCTCCCCTCCCTCGCTCCGCCACTTAACTAACTTACCGAACCAGTCCTGCAACTTTGCCAAGCACTCGATTTGCGCAATTGAAGCCGTCGAGGTGGGGTTGTCTTGGCCGCCAACGATCATTTCGGGCAGCACGTCCAGGATCCCCGACGAGATGCCGGTGAGCATCCGCCCCTCGTAGTGGCCCAAGTCGCGGATGTCCGGGCAGTTCTCTGCCCACTCCCTCACGTCGTTGATCTTGACGCGCCACACCTTGCTGTTGCTCGCCCTGAACGTGAGCATGACGTTCTTGGCAGTCAAATCGCGATGGTACACCTGGAGGGAGCCACACACAGACAGACAGACAGACAGGCAGAGAGACAGACAGACAGACAGATGCTGGTGGGTTGATAGAGGGCCTTGCCCGGGTGGGGGCGGCGAGCTCACTGATGGGGAACCCCCGTTCTTGAGCGTGTCAAGTGCGGGATCCTGGAAGTACGCATGCGATAGCAGCTGGGCTGCCGTCCAACGCTGCCGGGCATAACACAAACACCTACAATCAAAGCGAGACACAGACAGAGCAATTAAGAGGTGCTTTTTCTGTTCCGTACTTCACTTACTTGGACGCGATGGCCTGTTCGTCCATGGACGTTCCAGCCACCCCCTTGCGAATGCTCGTCTTCAGATGCGCCTCACTGTACGGGACCGCCAGCCCGTTCCCTCGCCCCACCCTGCTGTCGATGCCCGGCATGTCTCCCTGGCCCGGCAGACCGATGAAGCCGCCGTATCTCTCGGCCTCCTCCTGCATGTACTGGCTCTTGTTGATCTGCCCCGGGTAGTCGTCGGGCACTTCAAAGAGGGGTTTCCTCGGGTGGCTCTCGACGACCAGCACACCGGCTTGATACACCGCATCCTTGAAGGGGCTGCAGCGCTGCAACAAAGTCAGGTCTGACAGACAACAAGGAAAATACACACAACAAGGATCGATGGAGAGATGTCCGTGGCCGGGTGGCGACGATGGCAGCTTAGGAACACGATTGCCGTCAGCGTCTCTGTAAAAATCTGATGGAATGATAGAAAGAAAAGTCAGCCAATGACTGAGAACATGCACAAGCGACAGACCAGCATATCGACTTACGCTGTTGTCTTACTTGATCTGGTCGCCCTGCCTCGCATGGAATAGCAAATTGACCAACGCTGACACCTGCAGAAAAGGAGACACACACACGCACATTCTTGCCGGCCATTCGGTTTCAGGGATGGATCCACCTCACCTTCTCGTCTGAAATGGATACTAGTGTGTCGGTCTCGGCAGCAGCTCCATCTTGGCCCACATGTCTCCAAACCTCCCCCCGTTGGTGTCACACACATCGTACACCCTCACCACGTTGGGATGCCAATGCTGCGGCCAGTCGGCAACCGAATCCCCTCGAGTCACTGCCCGCATCTCGGCGTCTTCCCTGAGTGACCTCATAAAGGCCACCTCGTTCCTGCCGGGGTCCTTGAGGTCCGCGAAGATGGGCTTCTGCATCGTCTTGAGAGCCACGTCATGGCCGTGTGGGTCGGTGGCGTCCTTGACGGCCCAGACGGTCCCGCAGCCGCCCTTGCCCAACGGGTGTGACGAAGTGAAGAGGAAATGTCCCGACGGGAGCGCGTCTCCCGGGTCAGCCACTGCATGCTGGATGCCCGCCATGCGCAGTGAACGCCGAATGAGCCAACTCGCTCACATGACGCGGGCCCTGTCGCTCAGAAAATGCTGCGCCATGACCGACTTGTGAATACACAGACACAATGGAATGGTCGAAATGCATACATACCTCTGCCCAAGACACATGGCCATGTGCTCACCGGATGGAGGCGGATTATGCGAGAAAAAGGTGGGTGCGCTCTCGGCAGGTGCCAGGCACTGCCAGTCGCCAGGCGTTCCACAGAAGGCAGGGCACGGCGGTGGAGGAAAAAAGTGGCGGGTGACATCCGGACGAGTTGGGAGGGGTAGAGGGAGATGGGGCGGACAGCACAAGCCAACAACAAGCCGAAAAGAAAAAGAAACGGCTGAAGAAGCCAACTTGAAGAAGAAGGTGGAAAAATCTGCAGAGGTGTAGCGGAAAAATCTTGGGGGCGTCTCCCGTCTCATCGCGCGAAAATCTCGCCGGTTCAGATTTCAGGCTGAAAGGCACAGTGAGGGACGAACAAGCATATGAGAGTCCTCGCGGCGCCTCGCCAACATTGAAAACGGATTCGACTTCATCATCTTCTCTGAACCCAAAACTTCGGCCCCCAATGATCGCTTTCACAGAGGTCAGAGTTGACAGAGAGATAGAGAGAATGGCGTCGCCACCACAGCCATGCAGTCCGGTCCCGCAGCAGTACCCCCCCCCCTTCTTCATCCCAGGAGAAGAGGAAACTTCGTGTTTCCCTCGACAGGCCCAACGGCCCTTTTTTCGTCGGACATAAGACAGTCGAGTTCATTGACAAAGATGACCTGCTTCAGCAGCTGCAGGGCCTCTACCGTCGTTATCGCACAAGCGACAACGACATCTTGGTTTATGAAGGTGACGACTGTCCGCATCGGGTGTCATCCGAGACGTATGAGGCGATGATGGAGGTGAGGGAGGTGACAAAACGGGTCAGACACACCTGCAGACTCGACATCATTGTGCGCTTGCTGAGTGAGTGTCTGCAGCTGGCCGAAGCGGATCTGCATCCGATTCTACTCGTGCCCCGGATCACTCTGAAGGTTCTCCACAGACGCCCACGACACCTGCCTGGATACCTGCAAACAGAAACGTAAAACAGATGTAAGCGTATGTGTTGCCTTTGCTGTGTATGAGCAAACGTATGCTCTCCTGTCTTTTTCGTTCAGACCCTTCCGACCCGAGCCTTCTGGCGGCAGAGACGCTATTTCTGGCCCTTCAAGCTCGTCAACTGCATCATCGGCGCCGTCCTCTTTTCGCTCTGCATCGCCCTTCGCGAGCCCATTTCGAATGCTATGGGAGAGGTCCTTTGGGACATCACTCTGGTCTTCGGTGACGCCGCCGCTGTCTACGGGCCCGGCACGTGGGAGTTCGTCATCACGTGCACGTGTGTGGTGTGCGAGTTCATTTTCTGCTGCTGGCGATGCTGTCCTTCCCGGACGCCCCAGACAACACCGACAGGACGCGACCAGACAACACCGCCAGCACGCGACATCCACACTGGCCGACATGCGGGAGCCGCTTCTGCGAGGGATGACCTAGAAGAGGCCAAGGAAGCGGAAGCTCTCATGAGTGAGGGAGAAGGCCCGCAGCGACACCGACAAGGTAAACGTTTGAACACTTGGGTGAATGCATCGATGACCCATATGCCCATATGCTGATCGACCGACCTGCTTCATCTGATCGATGCCTCTCCTCTCTGTGCCTCTTTCCCTCCCTCCCTCCCTCCCTCCCTCCACCTCTGCGTGTCTGTCTGTGTGTGGGCAGGTAGCCGTAGTGGAGAGGGAGCTGCAGGCGGCCCGCGACGCACTGGCCAAAGCTGACCAGGACACACACAAGGTCACTAACTAAGTTACGTGCGGTGGGCATGGCGTATGGCATGGCATGAGGCAAGGCTGCCCCCTCCCTCCCTCCCCTTTCATCAATCCACCCATCAATGTGTACGTATGTGTGTGTTTGTGTGTCCATCAGTTGCAGGAGCGTCTTCGCCAGGTCGAGAGTGCCGCTGCCGACCTGCGCAAGGCCGTCGAGACGCACCAGAGGACGGCCCAGCAGTACAGGCAATCTCTCCAGCAGCACAACATGGCGGCAGAAGACCACAAGAAGGCCGCCGACGACGTCAGTGGGCAATACGACACACACACACGCACACACCCACACCTCCGCACATGCGCTGCGCAGAGCAATCTGTCGGTCCACGTGTTGTTTGTGTTTATGTGTTCAGGTGTATGTTAGCATGGAGGCCAAGTACAACACGGCCAGTGAGCTCGGGGGCAAAGCGAAGGATCTCACCGACCCCCAGAACAAGAATACTGAGGTAGGAATGCATGGCATGCTATGGTCCTTGCTGTAGCCTAGCGACCGCCCCACCCATCCATCCATCGACACATCCACACACCTCACCCCACCCATTCCATGTGTCCCTCCCTTCTCTCTCTGTCGTACGTGTGCTGTCAGTTGGAGACCAAGTTGGCTGAGTTGGAGCGTTCCATGCCACACCCGTCTGGCGCAGCAGCAGCGGCAGCAGCAGCGGCACTTGACCGAGGCGGCGGCCCCACACACCACCCCCACCACCCCAAGGCCCCGGTCGTCGGCGAGAAGCCCAGCGGCAGCCAGGACGACATACTACTCGACGACGACGACGGCGAGCCGCTCGCAGCAGCTGCGGCTGCTGCAGCCGTGGTGCACCGGGGCGGCGGCCGTGGGTGGGACCGTTGTGTGGGTGGCCGTGGAGGCAAGAAGGATAGCGAGAAGGGCGAGGGGACGGGGGTGGAGTCGGGGGCGGAGGGTCTGCATGAGGGGGCGCTGGCGTAGGCGTACGTATTGGACTTGCCGGAGTGGCCGACATCATGCTTTCACAATCGACGTGAGTGAGTGAGAGCTGTCTGTCGAGGGGGCGGGGGGAATAAGTGGGCAAATTGGCAGCTCCATTAGGATACTCGGCAGGCGTAGGAGCACGTGCATCGTGCAAGGATGTGTGTGCCGACTTGGGCGGGTTCTTTTGATGTGTCTCGATCTGACATTGGGGTTTGCAGCCGATCCCTGTGTTCTAAGTTCAACCTTTAACCCCGGCCCTGCCGGGTGTGCGTGGATGTGTCCGTATCCGTCTCTTTTATTCATCATCTTCTTGCTTGATGTCATGCACTGCAAGTGCGGGACGCATCTTCACATAAGGCTGTCACACGATGTGCCAGGGAGGTCACACATACATCCCGCTCTGCCCATACTGGCTCCTAGTATGCTTGTCTGATGTTTAGTGGTCTTGTGTTTGGACGACTGAAACCCGCCCCCGATGCCAAGTTCTCATTGGTCGGTTGGAGCATGCCTTGAGACACATGACATGATTGCGTGAGAGGTGTGTGTTTTGTGTGTCCAAAGAACGAACGAACAAACGATTCCATGCTCATGTGGTGACAATTCGTGACCATGCATCCGTCAATCAAACTTGTCAAGTGGCAAAGCTGCCAAATGTCATGCTTGTAGGAGGAGTCGAATTACCGAATTAATTATCAGCTCGTGCTCACGCACGCGCAGCACGCAACAACAGACACTCCAGACAGTCGTCCATATCGACACGACACACACACAGACACTTGTCCGTCCACCAGTGCCTCCACATCACTCTCTCTTGGCTTTGTCGGCCGCCTCGGACGACTCCCTGGTGCTCACTGCCGCGGCATCTTTGTCGTCCATCGGTCTTGATTTCCTGTATATCCACCTCTGGTACAGCAGCAGCACGAACACCACATCGTCGCGGAACACGCTCATCCGGTGCATCTCGGGCATCCGGATCAGCAGCGAGAAGAGGTCGTCGATGATGGTGTTGCAGAAGCGGTAGCAGAAGACCACCAGCGGCAGGTGCTCCACCGACCGCAGCTGATAGTTGCGGAAGAGCTGCGGTGTCATGCTCACGAACCCGCCCGTGTAGGCGCACATGGCGAGGCTCTCAATCACCCAGGACACCCACGACTTCTGCTTCTCGTACACCAGCTGGTAGGCGGCCACCAGCATGACCAGCACCAGGCAGCCCCCGCCCAGCACACGCATACACTTGCTCTCGAACCGCTCCAGGGCCGCCTCGCGGGCGGCGGCGCCCTTCGTGTCGTCGTCCTTGCCACCGCTGCTGCTGCTCCTGGTAAGCTCTTTCCTTCGTAAGTGGATAAAGGGGAAGCTCGCCTTGAGAGTGAAGTCCACCTGCAAGAATGGAGGACAGAGGGCACGTGTGTGTGTGTGGGATGGATGGGCATAGAGGGGTCATGTGCTGGGAGCCACTGACCAGCTTGCTCAGCTTCCACACGTCAAGCGCCGTCCTCGCGAACACAAGATACTGACACACACACACACATGCAGAGCGAGATCGTGGGAGCGGATTTGTCCTGCCCGGCTGACCCACCCGTATGATGGCGGTCTCATTTTGCTCCCACAGGTAGAGCAGTATGATGACACTACTGATGATGTCAAGGAGGAGGCTGTTGGACGACATGCCGCCAATCGAGTCCTCACTCGCACGACGCCAAAAGCTGATGTCTGCAGACCCAGACAAAGAGACAAACACCACTCGCGCGTCATCACTTGCTCTGTCCCCGTGGGTGCGTACCGTGCCCAATGGCGAGGATCTCCAGGATAAGGTCTGATGGATAAAAACAGACACAGACAGGCAGGCCATGTGTGTTTATGTCTGACAGTGTCTGCGGCTGAAGGGATGGCTTACGAGCAACGGAGACGGCGTATGTGAGGCACAGCAGCCAGGGGGACGTGCCGGTCATCTGCCAGCGATGGACACGACAAAGCTCAAGAAGGTCTGTCTGTCTGTCTGTCTTTTTGTGGTGCTGCTCGTTGCAACGCTTGCGTACCATCATTTTGAGCGAGTCGATGTCATACTCATTGAAGCCCCACTTCTCCATCGACTCAAAGCTGTGCCCCAGGAAGAACTGAAACATCCAAAACGCCATGCCTACGCCACATCACACACACACACACACCACTCATACTGAGGCGACCGGCCGACGGAGTGGCGGGAGGGAGTGACGTACCTATCGGTTTGTATCTGATCTTGAGTGTGGGCTCCTCCTGTTTGTCGCTGTCGCCGTCGCCACTCTGCGTGTCCTCCTGCTTGGTGATGTTATAGAGGGTCTCGTAGGCCACCAGGGGAGTGTACTGGTCGCGGGGCGTCAGGTACTTGTTCACGTGAGGGGGAAATCCGAACGTCTGCACACATGGTAAAATCATTCAGTTTGTGTTGTTGTGCTTGGCGGTCGAGCTGCATACCTTCCTGCGGCCGTCGATGGAGTCCCTCGGCAGTTTGTGTGCCAGGATGATGCCATCAAGGACACGGTGCTCCGTCACCAAACCAACCTGATGAGACAGACACAGACGCCATGTGGCTGTCTGGCCGTGACCTCCCCTGCACTTGCCTCAATGAAGGAGGGGATGCCCAGGACAGGTGGCGGTGCGTGGCCGTCGCCCCCGATGTGATAGTCCCTCATCCACTGGTGCTTCCTCTTCAGCTCAGTGCCCCACGGATCCAACAGCAGATAGCGCTTCGGTGTCTTGACCGAATCTGAGCACCACACAGCAGGTATGTATATCGATAGGTTTTGTCTTGGATGTGTGTTGGATCATCTGTTGTCGAGGACCTACCTGGTATGGTCGGGTGCGTCAGCTCAGTCTCGATGATGCGATGCACAGATGAGCCACGTGTGATCGCATCCACTCGCAAGTAGAGAGTCGCATTCCGCCTGCAGGGATAAACACACACACACACACACAGGCAATCGTTCAGCCCCCCAGCCCCCCCAGATGACACCATCCTGACCTCAGTTGGTGCGGTAGCTTGGCTTCGAAATGGTGGAATGCCGTCGGGTTGAAGAGCACCCACCACTGTCCCTCCTTCTCATTGCTCAGCCTCGGGAGGGCGTCCGAGCCGCTCCACCGATAGGGCACTGACAGGTTGCCGAGCGGGTAGAGCTGCAGCTGGCCGTCTTTGCCCTTCCGCTTCGCTCGCTTGGTGCTGATGATGGTGAAGCTCAAAGTGACCTTCTCGCCCTCCTGCAGCCACAGAGATACACGCACGCGTGGGTGTCTGTCGGTCCGTGTTTGTTTGTTGTGGGTACAGCTACCTTTATTTCGTTGGACAATGGATGGCTCGCCACAGATCCCTCCTGCAACACGGGTGGCTGCACTTCTCGCCACAGTTTGTAGAAATTAAAGGCCATGTAAGCCAACGCACACACCTGCAGGCAGAGATCAACAGGCACACAAGCGCGAGCGCAGGCCATCTCATCTGTTGTCTTCTTGCAATCTTTGGCACGTACGTACCACGATTGCATTTGTCTTGGCACCCATATCTCTTCACACCAAAGCATCAAGATCGCCAGATCTGCACTTTCTTCTCTCGCAAGCCTGGCTTGAAGCTCGCAGCTGATCCCTTCTTTGGCCGCCAGGCCGCCTAGGGTGCTCCCTGAAACCGCTTCTGACATCCCTTCTTTGGGCTGCGTTCGCGCGATCTGTGCACCAACTCAGCACATCGACTTGAAGCCAGAGCAGAAGGTCATCGTTTATCAGCGCCTGTGCAGGATGGTGGTTGCAGCTGGATGCGAGACGATGGTGATCTTCGTGCCGACTTTCAAGGTCAAGGAGGGCCAGGTCGAGGCGTTCAAGAAGATCTGCGTCGAGGGATTCATCGCCAAGGTGCGTTCGGAGGCAGGATACACAAACGGGGAAAAATGCAGATGTGGCGCTTGTCTGTGCGGGTGTTCGTTTGATGCAGGTCAAGGAGGGCATTGCGAACAAGGCTGAGAAGGGCTGCGTGCACTACCATTTCACTTGCAGTGGAAACACGTTCATCTGTCAAGAGGCATACGACAGGTGGGCTGAACACACACAGCTACGCGGCAACACTCCTGCGCCCACGCGAGCCGTTGTGTGTCCGTTAGTGCCGAGGCCCTCAAGGCTCATCTGGTCAACGTCGATGCGGAGGTCAAGAAGGCGCTGGAGATCGCTGAGATCGTGTCTGCCCAGCTCCACGGACCGCAGTCGGAGCTGGACAAGCTCACCGACCTGATCAAGGACATGAATGCTAAGACATTCGCCATGGTGTGACCTACCCACTGAACCGGTGATTGTGGTGTGGGGCCTTTTGTCGAGTTGAGCGCACAGACGTTGTGTGTTGTATGTGCACCGATCGATGTGAGATAATCAGACAGACGTGTGGCTCAGCGGCCGGCTCCCTGCAATTTTGTGAGTGAATGAGTGCATCGCATCCGTCCGTCCATCTGACGCACAGTACGGGAAACACTCGTACGTACGTGTAGACACGATGATGATATATGGGACGGTGCGGCCGGCGTTTTGGCTTTCCTGTTGCCGCACATGTGATGTGGGCGTAGCATGCATCGTGTGCCCACCGAAAGAGTTGTTCTGTGAATGCCATCCATGTATACTGTGGATCTGACTGACGTCATGACGCGAGTACGGGGACACGTTGACTGCATTAAGACATGAATGAATCAACAAACGAATGAACGGACGTACGAACGCACCCGGTCATAATCACGATTTGAGCACCACTGTCTTCCAGTAATTGCTCTCACTGAGGAAGCCGCTCACTTCCAGCGTCTTCCGAGGCAGCTGCTGCCGACCCCCCTCGTCCCTTACGCCCTTGGCCAGCGGGGCAGCGAGGGAAACGGGCGCCGGCGCTGACAGACGGGACAGACGAAGGGAGAGGGGAGAGACATATCGATGATCGATCACTTATTTGTCCTTTCCCCCTTCCCCCACCTGTTTCTCTGCGCTTTGCTGCCGGCTGGTCGGTGTCTTGTGTCGTCTGTGTTTTGTCTTCCACGAGGGCCTGGTGCAGCTCACTGGGCAGTGCCGCGGCGAGTAGGGCGGCCGTCAGCTCGGGCGACTTCAGCGTGTGGTGAGTCGCTATCAGCGACTCACGAGCCTAGACAATACAGAGAGACAACACAGACCGATGAGCATGGTCACCCCTTTCCCTGTGTGTGTCACCTGTTTGTCTTTGGCGAGGACCCCCAGGCATTCGACGGCGTATCGCCTCACGTCCTCGGCCACATCGTCGCGAAGCAGCCAAAACAGCGCCTCGCCAATCCCCATCGCGTGCTTCACCGACCACGCCGCCGGAGTCTTCTCCAATGCCTGCACACAGACGCACACACAGACAGAAGACACGTTTCACGCCTTCTTTTCTTGTGTATCTGTCTTGTGGCCGACCAGGGTGATGCCATCGTGTGTGATGGTGTCCTGGCTGAGGAAGTGCAGCAGTGCCTTGAGGATTTGCAGCTGTCTCTCGTGCGCCTCGCCGCCCATGAGCTGCAAGGCTTCTTCGGACCTCTGTGTGGCGTGTGACGTCTCGGACGGGATGGCGTTGGTCGCCAGGCCGACTGTCTCGCGGAGGTACTCGACCAGTGTGACGATCACTGAGGTGCCGTAGAGCTGACACATACACAAACAGACACGAGTGTGTGCATAAGACATGGAGACAGGCGCATATGGACGCACCTTCTGCATGCCGGTGAAGTCGTAAAGGAGCCTGGCAACATACTGGCGCCTGTTGGCGGGCAACTCGGACGACGATTGCACCACCTGACAGACGGACGGACAACAACACTCAACCCGGCGGATCTCTTAAAGAAAGAAGCCCCAGCATACCTGGTCCGCCTTTTGTTTGATCCTCTCATCCTCGTCGAGCAGCAGCGGCACACCGCACTGATGATGCGAGACATTCACATATGGCGACTGATGGAGAAATGATCCGATCTTCTTCGTACCCACCTGCTGCACACGCGGGTCTTCGAGGACAAGGTGCTTGCCCTGGACGTCGAGCGATATCGAACTCAACGCGTCGAGACACGCTCTACCGGGGTACAGACAGACAGACGGACATTCACCGACGGATGGATGGATGGACTCATGTGTCTACAGTCTGATTGAGGGGTTTGGGTGAGTGAGGAAGGTGGATATGCTTTTCACCGCCTTGAGCTCAATCAGCTCCTTACGCCCATCCGGCTGCAGCGCCAGGTGACTCAATACAACCAGAATTCTGACACAGACACGTGTGCACGCGTGTCTCTCTTCTCACTTGTGTGTGTGTGCATGCTTACGCAGCCAGCAGGTTTTCGCACAGCGCGAGAAATGGATGGGGGGAGTCAGCCAGCTGAGCTGTCCGCTCTTCCGGGGTGAGCTTCTGCACGTGTTTGTAAGACCGTTCGAGGAAGCCGCACATGGCTGGGATGAGCCCGGTGCCCTCGCCACACCGCACACCATCGCAATACCTGCTTGCACACAACACGGAAAACAGAAAAATGCCGTTCTTTGGCGTGTTCCGCTGTGGGATGAAAGGCGACCAGTTGGTGACTTTCTCCAGGGCTTGCACGGTGGCATGAATGCATCGCCATTGACACTGCATGGAATAGAATGCGGCAGACACAATGCGTGCGTGCTTGTGTGAGCCTGTGCATGTGCATGGAAGTCATACGTGTGTGTGAGTGTGCAGCTCACCAGTTCCTCCTTTGTCTGTGGCGGGTTTGCGGGATTGGCAAAGGGCAGAGCAGACGTCAGAAAGGCAGCAAGGGAAAAGGAATCGGCTGAAGATATATAGCACCATCGAGACATGACAAGATTGACTGACATCCATGCCTCCCTGGCTGTTAAGCTTACTGTCTTGTATGAGGTACTGACACCCGTCTCGCCCCGAAGCAAGGTTGAAGAAAGCAACACCAACACACTCACTGCAAACGACCACACACAAATAGATGTCATGCAAAATGCAGCCGTCTTTTCTGTCCTTACCGGACAGATGCCTTGGGGCTCCCCAGCAGCAGGTCGGTCAGCAGGTGTATGCCCCCACCCTCTGCCACCTGCTGTCGCCCATCCCTCAGCAGACATAGCTTCCCCAGCACGACCGCCGCCTCCTCGTGCACCGATGGCGGGTGCTTCCACTCAGACGACTCGTGGGCCAGCAGGGCGATTACCACAGGCACCAAGCCGTCATTGATGGCCTGACACTTGGCCTCCTGCAGTGAAGGAGAAGGACGGCAATCTATGTGATTGTGCAATTGCATGTCTGTTGCTCTTCGTAGTTGCCTGGTTTGCGAGTCGGCATGCGATGGTCTGGAGCGCCTCAACGCATCTGTCCGTGGGGAACTGTGGGTCCTGTAGGCGCTCTATGAGTCTGGTGAAGAGTCTTGTGCCGTAAGCTGTGGAGACCTCGTGGGGGAGGACTCTGTCCATATGCTCGGGGCGCCATGGGTGGTTGGCCTCGAGAGCATACGTAACAATGTGCCGCCGGTACGCTGGCGCCGCCTGCAATACCACCGCTGCCATTTTTTCCGTGTGAGAGAGCAGTTTCACGAATCTTTCGTCACATGCGAGCTTTCGAATGCAGCACGAATGCCGGGGGGAGGGCAACCATATAAGACGTGAAAACAAACCACTGCAGAGCCGTACGTCTCGAGAAATAGCTTCATCGCACAGGACGAGCGTGTTCAGGTGATACGAGAACTCACCCGCCAGCTGAGCGCCTGCGTTCATTCATCTGCTGTGGACGTGTGGTGTGTGCAGATGGCTGACACGACCGGCACATCGTTTCGTTTGATCCATCTGTCGGGACGACTCCCCACCAATGAAGGACCGGTAACACCACCAGGAAGCCAAATTCGATGCATTCGACGATGGCGGATCTTTTCCCATCGCAGGCTGGGAGGCGTTTGTCGCGTGAGGACCTCATTCTCATCTCGGGCTATGGCGTGTGGCCGCTCTTCAACAACAGCATCGCCGCGGAGGCCGGGGGTCAGTGCCACCAAGTGGACATCGACTGCTCCAGGGCCGCCGACAGGGCCTTCTGGCAGACGATGCCCGTCAATGTGGCCAAGAGGTGGGGCGGCCGCATGCCGAAGATCGCCCGCATCTTGAGCTGTCACCCGGCTGGCGAGGGGGCCTGGTGTCTGGACGTCATCTCGGCACTCATCGAAGGCCACACAGAGGGCCGCACAGCGATGGTCGCGGAGAAGAGGGCAGAGGCAGAGAGGAGGGGAGAGTCGGCCGACATCCCCGACGGCTCACTCACGACGATCGCCTTCGAGGCGGTTGAGCTGAACGACGAGGACATGCCGTCCGTCAGGCGCACCAACCCCACCCTCCCCCCTCTTTGCGCCCCGCCCC